TTAATAAATATATAAAATATTAATAAAAATATTTATAAAAAATTAATAAAAATGTATAAAAATTTAATAAAAATATCAAAAATATTAATAAAAATATATAAAATATTAATAAAATATCTAAAAATATCAAAATTTCATATGTAACTTCTTACTTTTCAAATTTGTCTCTTAATAAAATATTGGCTAAAATTTTTTCGTCCCGATAAAATTTCCCCTGTTTTCGTCATGCATTTGCGCCACTCCCAACCCTACTATCTCTATCATTATTATTATTATCATCCATATTATTATCATTATTATTATTTATTATAAATATATTCAATTTATTATTATTATTATTATTATTTATTATAAATATATTCAGGCCAAACCCCAACCCCAGGATTTGGAGACACAAGGGGATAAGAATTTGATGAACAAATTGCTAATTTAATTTCAAGTAAATTGTAAGAATTAGATTCATTAACTTTGATTTGATTTGTTTTGTAGTAAAATCTAGTTTGAATAGATTAACAATCCCTCAAAAATATGTTATGAATCGTTTATTGCAATTATTTGGGAATGATGTTATAGAGAATTTCATATTTCTTTTTACTTTTGCTGATTTTGAAGAGCCATAAGCACTTTAAGCACTATTATTTCATGGAGATAAAAATCATAGTGCAAGTCCTGTTGCTGATCTTATATCACAAACTAAGGATCCATTTTGGTTAAAATTTAACAACTCAGCATTTCAAGCAGTTGGCAGAAAAGAAAATTTTAAACCTCTATGGGATGAAGCCTAAGAGTAATTTTAATAATTTTATGAAGAAAAAATTCTAAAAACACCATTTGTTAGCTTGAAACTCACCCGAGAAGTCATTTTAGAAAGAAAATAGTTGCAAAACATTATTATTCATCTAAGACCTGATATATAAAACCAGCTAAATCTTATTACAGAAATAGAAAATCAAGTTGAAATCATATAGAAACTTACAACAGATTAATTTGAATCAAAAAATTTCAAATTCTCTTAAAAAGGATATGATATTGTAAAAGTTGATTTAAAGCCAAAGGAATATGTTACAAATTGTGTAAAGTGCAATTCCACTTGTCATTATCCATGTGCAATTCCTGAATCAAAAGAAAAATAGAATTGCTGTAAATGTTGGGAGGATCATCAGAATATGAGCTTTCGTTTTGAAGTTAAAGAAAAATTTACAGAAGTTGTATTAGAAGATTTGAAAAAAAGACATTAAGAATCATCCTAAATTAAATTAACCAAAGATTACTTAAAGGATCAATTAAGCAAGGAATTATAAAAGAATAAATAAAAGTGCTAACAAAAAATTTAGCAGTTATTATAATCCGTTAAAAAATTAAATGAAATTGCTTTATAACCAGCCATCAGTGATGCAGAAACTGATTATATCGTTTATATGATATAGGAGGAAGAACAATAAAAAAAACCAGGATATTAAAAAAGAATTTAGGTCTTGAAAGTTATCAAAGAACAATGGCAGTGGTTAATGGAATAAATAAATTAAAAGTGAATTTTATATGAATAATCTAAATTTTTACTAATATATGTATTTTTTTGATTTAGTTAATAATTTTTTAATCCAAGAATACTTTCAAATTCTATAATGAATTTGATAAATACTTTCTGTAATTAAACAAAAAGTTCAATATTGAATGAATATATGTAAATATTGGGTAAAACTTCACAATGGCATTAAATTAAAAAGAAATGCTTAGTGTGAATAATTGATGTTAAATTTTGAAGCAAGACCAAGTAATCTGTTGCTATCAAGTAAAGGTAAAATATAATTAGAATCTAAAAAATGTAAATTTTATTTGAATTGATCTCAAAATATAGTAAGAGTTATTAAAGTTTCGCAAGTGAGAACGAATTACATCCCCTATCAGTTTAATACATATATTTTATCTTAAAATGATTCAAAAATAAGTATTTTTAAGGAAAACATTAAAAAGTCATTAATTCTTTGTAGGTTCTGTATAATTCAAAAATAAGTGAGGAATAATAATAAGAATATTATTTTAAAGATTGATATAAATTTTACATACAATTCTTAGAAACGATTATTTCTGTTAAATTCTAACTATTTTTAGAAACCAAGACAAATGAAAATTAATCAACACATTAGCATAATAGCAACCTATAATCTTAATTATATGAAAAATGTTAGTTTAAAATTAATTCTTATCTAATTAATATCATTAAAATATTAATTTATTAAACAATGTAGAAAATATTAGAAAACGAATTTGATTTTTCTTGTATTTAATAGCATGGACTTCCAATATGCGCTTTAATATTAGATCCTAAATTAAATGCAAAAGAGAGATTGTTATGTTCATAATGCATTAATAATTTAGAAAAAGAGGAAAATATTTTAGGGTGGAGAAAAGTTATAGATAGGATGAAATCTCATTTGGAGGATAAGTATTAAATTAATTCAAAACTTATTTCATCTTTATTACTATTGCTAAAATAGATGAAAAGTAACTTGGAATAATTATAGGAGTCCATGATGAATCAATTACAAAATATAGAAGAAATAATTGATAAATGGAAAAAAGAATTGTAAAAGGAAACAAACTTATTAGAAAGTCATTAAATTCTTGATGAATTAGATTATCTTTTTGGAAATTAATAATCAAAAGTTAGTTTTGAAGAATAACTATTAAGAGAATTGAAAAAAATTAATTCAAACCATATTGTTAAAATATAATAGGAGATGAAATTTTTTAAAAAGTTTGAATAATACAAAATATGTTTAAATATATTAAATTCTATCAAAGAATAAAAATATTATTCACAAACATATTAATAAATAAACTAGATGGAAAATGAAGCCGAAATTAATAACAATGAATAATCAGATTTCTTTAAGAATTCATCAAATAAAAAAATAGATTAAGACATCATCAAATCAAATACTGGTTAATTTGTCTAACAATAAGTAATTTCAAACTAATAATAAGATTATAGTAATTAAATAAAATAAGATAATAATTTGAATAAATAAAGCTAATATGAATAACAGTATGAATAAAGGCAAATTTAATAAAGGAAAGTAGAAATTATTGAATTAAAATAAGGATTATCGTTACCTTTAATAAAATTATAAACAAATAAGGATGGAGATCCATAGTATTAATATGAAGGATAATAAAGGAATGATAAAATTTAATATAAAAAAATTATTTTTATTGGTTAAAGAGATGAAGGAAAGACAACCTTATTAAATGCATTTGTTAATTATTACTTTGGAATTACTTGGGATGATAATTTTAGATTAATTGTCGCAAATTAAGTTTAAACTACTGATATATCACACTATTATATTGAACCTTTTAAGTTAAGAAAATTCGGAATACATTTGATAGATACACCTGGAAATTATGGTTAAAATGATAGATAGACTATTAATAAAGTATCTACATTCATATAAGATAATTATAATACAATCGATATCATTGTTGTATGCTTTAAAGCTACTAATGTAAGATTGAATGTAGAAGCAAATTAAATGTTGCAATCTATTGTTTAAATAATTGGATAATAGATAGCAAGGAAAATTATTGTTGCTCGTACATTTTATTCAGGAGGAGGAGAAGTTGATCAATCAATATTAACATCGGAATAAAGTCCATTTTATTAATTATCACAATATTTAAATGAAGATTTTAGTCTTGAATTTAATGCTTAATCCATAGTCAAAATAACACAAAATCAAAGTGCAAAAGTTTATCATGACATTAGTATTTCAAATTTCAAAAAAATTGAGAATTTAATAATGTCTAATATTTATAATATTAATTAAAAAGGTATAAATTCAATTTCAAATTAAACTCAATAATTGTAAAAATTTAATAATGTCGATTCATATTCAGAAGTTTATTAATCAAGTTACAATTAATTAAAACTCTTATTTCTATAGAACCTTAAGGTTTATTTTAGTAACTAAAAACAACCTGAAAATAATTAATAATAATTGATTTATGCAGAATTATAGAAATATTCATTATACTAAGTATGTGCATTAAATTGTAAACAATGTCAAATAACTTGTTTTGTTGGATTCAAAAGCTTGTTAGTCGCAAATGATTTCTTGAATAAGGAGATTAATGGAAAATGTTATTGTGGGTGTTCAATGCAGAACATGATCGCAATGAATGAATAATGGTTTTATAAAGAGAATAATGTATAATACTGGAAAGATAATTAAGGTTGTATTAAGATATTATATGAATATCTATATAAACTTTTTTAGAGGAAAGAAAAGAAAGATTAGTCTTAGATCAATGAATAATAGTTTATAGAAATATTAGAGAAAGAAGAATATTAAAATTAATAGATAATCCAATAATTTAAAATGATTTTCCTTTAGTAGATCCAAAAACAGTAAATATAATCAACTCCCATTGTTAATTAATAATCAAATTAAGTCCAATATAATTAATATAATCAAAATATTAGCAGTTCATCTTCAAATCAAAATTAATAATAACAGAATAATTAAGCAAGTCAAAAATCAAGTAATGGAAAAAAAAATAACTGATCATTATAATATGAAAAATTATCAATATTCATATATATTTTTATAATTTATATGTAAATTATGTATGTAAAAGTTGATGGTAATATTAATTCTTAAAATTCTAAATAAGTTTATTGAATATCATTATTAAGGTTATTTAAATCAATAAAAATAAATTCATATTTAGTAATTATTCAAATTGAGAAAATTATTTATAACAAATCATTTTAAGTAAAAATATATAAGAATTATATATCTTTAGATAAAAAACCCCTAATTATCTTATAAGAATGATATTGAATGTAAGTATTTTAGTCTAACACTAATAAAATTTTCATTGTTTATAACTCACATTATATAATTAAAGTATTAATTAATTTTATAAGAACTTTTGGAATTATTTTTAATAAAAGAAAATGGATTGAAGTCAAGAAGAAATAAACTACTAATCAGAATATATAGTTTGATTTAATCAAAAGATTTGTTAATTATTAAATATCACAATTTATTTTCAAACTAAAGAAAAATCGATAAGTTGTTCTTACTTCAAAATACCTTTTGTTAAATGAATTTTAGAATTCTAAGCAAAAATACCTGGCCAATAAGAAGCAGCGCATCGGTTTGTATCAATAACTCCCATCAATAGATTCATTAGATTTTGTAAATCGTTTAATCAATTAACTTGGTGACATTTGATATCTTTGACAATAGATACCTAAATAATACAATTGAATATGAACTTTAACAAATTATTCAAGTTTTTCAAGTATTTCATTGATTTATTTACTTCTAATTATTTGTATACCATCTGTTGATATAAATTATGCCAATTGCTTTGCATAAAAGTATCCCAACTCAAAAGATTGACACCCTAGATTTCCTATGTTAAATTTTACTGTTTATCCCATAGATTCAAGTAAAAACAACTCTCCTTTATTATATCGAAGTAATAAAGCTACATGATCAAAGTTGTCTCCAGTAAAAGCTCTATAAATTTTACTTAATGGAGACTGCCCCCTAGGAATAATTAACTTGTATACTTACCTAAATAAGTGAATGTCACCAGTATCAGCTTTTTTTCTGAAATATGTTTCAGATATTCTCTCAAATCTCCACATGGATTCATGATTCAAAGGGGTCATTTTTGGATAAGATTATGTCATTAAAATATGTTGTTTAAGACAACTATACCAATCTTGCAAATCTTTGCGATCTATACTTTTAAACTAAAATATCTTTTTAATTCCATTTAATTCCAATCTGATTATCATTGATCCAAAAAATTACCTTATTTCATGTATCACATTATTCTTCATGATAGGAATTATTGTTACTGTGATCAAATGAAAATCTATGCAACCCTTAAATTTTTCTGAACCTTTAAAATATTACATCTTTCCTTCTTAAATCTTAATATATCGTTTCTAATAAATTTTGGTAATATATTAACAATTTACTTGCCATCCTACCAGTAATTTGGGACTCTTTTTCATTAACCATCCTTCTTTATTATAGATATCCTATTAATTAATTCCCTTCATCTAATTATTAGCTGATATTGAATATTGGAGTTTCTTTTCCATAGTGCTTTACTGTCTAATATAAGATTAGTATTGTTGTTCTTCATCAAAGAGTATTTCAGATGAATCAATTGTAGAAGGAGTCTAATTAATCATTTCAATTTATTAAATTCAATAAATATTTATAAATATTAAACATCTTCACTCCTAAATACATGAAATATATAATAAAATAACGAAATAAATAATTATAATTAATAACTAAATTTACCATGCTACAAATCAATATAGAAGTGCAAACTATTTATTTTTATATTGATTCTGACAATCCTTATTGTAAAATGCAACTTAATGATTGTAAAAAATCAAATTTTAAATTAGCCATGACAACTGTCATTTTGAATAATTAATTAAGATGTAAATGCTATGAACAACAAGATATCTATGAAAAAGTTGAAATTCTAATCCCCTACAATTAAAGAAACAAAAACAAAGTAACCTTTTATAATATCCAAAGCTCAAACTCATTTTTTATGAAAATCTTATAAAATTTGGAGAAGCAATCTTTAATCTTGAGTTCTATATTGAACATAAATTATCTTAAATTTCTGATAGATTATCAATTTAATGCGATTAAAATGAAGAAGCACAATTAACATTCATTTTTGAATGGCAACTAATTAACAATTTACCGGAATCGAATATATAAATTTTAGAAAATTGCTAGACAATTAGTAGTCCTTAAAGTATAGAAATTTCTTAAAGAAATGCATGTTAAAGTCCAAAAGGATAAGAAAAATCAAAAAAAAGTAGTGATGATAATAGAATTACTCATTCATCATATAACTAATGGAGAGATCATAAGGAATAATTAAAAGTTTAATAAGAGAAGAAGTTGAAAGAACCAAAACCATAATCCAAAATAGTTATAGCTGATGATTATGTGTGGTCAAATCAATTAAGAAAGCCAGATGTGTAGGTGAGAGTTGGATCTCCATCTAAACGATTTGCAACTCACACAAAGCAATTCAAAAAAATATATTGTTCAATCAATGAATAACCCAAACAAACTGATCTAGATTTAAAGGATATAAATGATAAAATGATTGTTGTTAAAAAGTAAATATAATCTATGAATTAACATAATAAAAAGAGTGATGATGATAAAAGGAAGTATAAAACTAAAATAGGATCAAAGTAAAAGTATTTTTAATAAGAAGAAATTAAAACGTAATCTGATGAAATTGTCAAATCATTTTCTGACAGAGGATGGATGTAAAAAATTACAAGTTAAAATAATGAAAATTATGATTAATCTTATTTGAATACTTTTAATTAAGTCTCTGAATAACAATATCTAGAGTAAAACACTGATCCTAATTACGAGATATAAATATTAAAGTAAGGATTGAAATAATAAGACCATAAATCTAAAAGTCCACCTAAATCAAAAAATTTTAATTAACAAACTAATTAATCGCCAAAAAGTAAAACATAACATTAAGATGATCATTTGAAAAGTGCAAAATAAGCTGAAATTGGAAATTTTGTAGGAGAAAAATATGAATAATTTTTAAAAGATTATTTAGATTTATAGGATAAATTATAAGGGTCTTAAATAGAATTCTAGTTATTATCTTAAACCTATTAAGAATTGAAAGAAGAGTACACTTAAGTAGTATACTAAAATTAAAAATATTATTAATAGATACAAAGTTTATAATAGCAATTTTAATAGAAGGCTCATTCTATTGATGAATGTTAATAATAAATATAATATTTGTAAACATAATCTAATTAAAAGTAATAATAATAATATTAATAATAATAATAATAATAATATTAATAATAATAATAATAGTAATAATAATAGTAATAGTAATAGTAATAATAGTTATTTAAATAATAATAATATTAATAACAACAACCTTAACAAAACTAATCATAACAAAACTAATCATAGCTTTAGTAATAGTAGAATTAATAAAACTAATATTAATAATTTATCTAATAATTATCCTCCTAATAATAAAATATTGATTTTCTAAAAAAAGAGAATGATTTAAAATAAAGAGAAAATACGATGTTGAAATAAAACTATGAATTATTATAATAAAATATACATGCTTTACAAAAAGAAAAAGAAAAATATTTGTTAGAAATCTAAAATCATCAAAATAGCTTAAAATTATTAAATTAAGAATTGGAAAATTTATAGAAGCAGTTAGATTTAGCCATAAATCAAAAGCAGACTCATGTGACACAAACTTAATCTAATAATCCAAAATTTGACCTTAAATCAGATTTACAATAAGTTACACAGTTAAAAATACAGTTGGAAAATTCTGAATTGGCCTCATAATCTTTGAAGAAAGAATTAGATTCATTAGAATAAATTTAAATTTAATAGGAAAAAGAAAATAAAAATCTAAAGAAATAGATTGATAATCAAAATTAAATGATTGAATCAATAGAGGAAGAAATATCAAGATTAAAAGAGGAATTAGAAGAAAAGAAAAAAGAGATTATTAGACTTGAAACTTTTAGCAACAAAGAAAATACGAGTGACATTATAGATGGTTATAAATAAGTTGTAAGAAACAAATAACAAGAGCTAAACAACAAGGAAGAAGAAATTAAATAATTAAAATAAAGAAATAAATAATTAGAGAGTGAATTTAAAGTAGAATAAGAAAATAATTAAATAAAAGTTTAATAATTAAATATACAAATAAAATAATTATAATAGTAAGTTGATAGATTATAAAAAGAAAATCAAAATTTATAATAACTGATATAATACGAGCCAAAATTATAAGAATAATAATTTTAGTAAATAATTATGTAATTAAAAGATAAGAATAGTCAAAGAATTCTGTATAAAATTGTTAAGAGTTTAGTTTTAAGCCATCTATGATTAAAGGTGAAGAATTTGAAAGCTAGAATGATATTTTACAATAAGAAGTAAATCAACTAAGATAAGAAATTAATTAATTTAGTAAATAATAAATTTATATAATTCTAGTTTTGTAAAAATAAAAGGATGATATAATAATCAAAGGGTTGTCAGAAGAATTAGAAATATAGAAGGTATTTAATACTTGCTAATTTAGAATATCACTCGTTATTAGGAAAATGAATAGTAAAGATTAAAAAATGATTTAAAAGCAACCGAAACATAGTTGGTGATACAAAAATAAAAGATTGCAGATATCCTGAATTCAATAATGATTAAAGGAGATGCAAGACTAATGGATGGACTTGAAAAGTTGATCTAAAATAAAGGAGTAGTCTCTTTGAAATGATAATATTTGATTAATAATTGTAATATCAAATTTCGTCTTATTTTAATTATTGATTAATACTATCCTTATCATTCAGAATCGGAAGAGATTATTATTTTAGATGGAATATACATTCAAAATAAAAATATAATGGAAAAAATAGACAATAAGTCAAATATAATAGTAAATAAATTAGGCTAAATGACAAGATTAGTAATTAATCTTTTTAATTGTTAATCATTCTTAATTAATAAAATACAAATTCATTTTTAATCACAATCAGTATTTTATTTACAATTCTCTTCAATTGATGTTGCACTTATGATTTTGTTACCATCAATCAAATTTTCTTGCTTTACATCCTCTATTTTTATTAAAATTGCTGTAATCAAAGAACAAAGTCCTAGAAATGATAGAAATAATTAAGAATAGTAATAACTTCCATAATACGCTCTCAATACACCCACAACAATAGGAAATATACTAAATAATGCATTATAAGTTCCAACTACTACTGCATAGGCTTTACCTAAGTAATCAGGTCTTACTAAATAGACAACTCCTGTCCATGGTGATGCATAAGCAATCGCATTAGCTGTTCCTAATGCGATTAAAGATAGAAATGGATATATATACCACAAAGTGATATGTGAAACAAAACAGAGAATTCCTGCAATAATACACTATATGAAATATTCAAATAATTACATGAGATGCTCTTCCTCCATATTTATCAGCTATAAATCCAAAGATAGGGGTGAAAAATCCAGTAATTAACCACATAATGGCTACCATCTCTCCTGCTTTAAGTTCAGAGTCTTCATCTTCTCCTAACCATCTTTCAGTCAAAAATCCCACTGAGATATTTATGAATCCCAAAACTGATGAATAGTTCAATCCAAAATAAATGGCAACTAACCAAAACAATTTCGGATATGTTTTCATTTGTTCATAAATACTTACTTCAGATTGCTAATTATTTTATTCATTAATTTATGGTTGTTCTTCTTCTTGTGCTAATTACATATATTTAACTTTTTCATAATCAATGTTTTTTAGCATCTAAGTCTCAGCGCATTTATCAATACTTGTTGATACTATAGCACAAACTATACAAAATATGTTAAAAAGACATCCAACAGAAGTTGCAACTAATAATCCATATTAAAGAGCAAGCAAAGGACAGAAGTACATAGTTGCAACGGAACCAAAACCAGCAAATAAGGTATTCATTCCTATCGTTAATCCCTTTGTATAAAATAACTAAATTACTAGATAATCATCTTTGAAATAAGGTGATACAAATGATGTTTATATTGGTTAAACGGATTCAATACCCCAACCCAATATTATCCTTGCTAAATACATTACTATAAAGCTTTTAATCATCACTCCATATGCAAACAATCCTTAACCAATAAAAACAAATGATACAGTCTATAATAATATCATTCTATCTCCCATTGCATCTCTTAATCCTTATATTAATCTTGAACATTACTTCCTGTGATGAAAGGCAAAAATATGTTCGCAAATGAATAAATACTATATAATCCACTAAAATATATTTCAAATTCTCCATCTGTCATAATATCACTAAAATGTTATTTTAATGTATTATGTAAAGCAGCCGGAACATCAAAACAAAAAAATGCCCCTGCTACTATCCATATACAAAATCCAAGTAGAATCCAACGGAATTTAAAATGGCCTTTGTTTAAGAAATGAAATGTTTTATCTTTTCCATCATCTTATTTATTTTCCATTTTAAAAGATAAATTTATAAAATAATAATTAAAATTGATTTCTATAGATTAATAATGATTCAAGTTTAACTTATTTCATTTTATACAATCTTTAGGATAATGGCTAAGTAAAAAAGAAGATTTGACCAGATATACTTTTTTTCTTATAATAATTCTTTTTTCTATTCACCAAATAAGCATATTCAGTTATAGATCTCCTAATTAAATATAAGACTCATCATAAATTTATTTGATATGAGATATAAATGTTGCAAATAATTATGACAACTTTTTGTTTAAAACCCATATATAATAGTGTTATTTTATGGAAAATTGTATGTTGTTCAATTTAATACCTCTCACTATGATATTTAAAATCTTGATATGTTGAATTTCCTATAGCTTTAAAATATCAATAAAAATCTGGTGAAACTACCTATAATTGTCTTGTTCTTATGTTGAATGATCAGGTGACTTATATCATATAAATTTATAAACTTCTATACATCAGCTATTTTTCTTTAATTGATCTCTTATTTTATTAATTGATTATGTATTATACGTCAGGGAACAAGACTTCATTTTATTGAAAAAATAGATGAAAATTATTAATTTCTTTTATAAATAATTAAAATCTTAAAATGAGTGATTTACTTAAATAAACTCTTAAAGCTTAACAAAAATAGAAACCACCTGTTCCAAAGAAATAGATGCAGAGTATTATAATATAAATATTGAAAGATGAAGATGAAGATGAAGGTGATGACAAAGATGAGGAATAAGATTAATTTGATGTAGATTTTAAGTAAATCGAATGATTAAATAATTTGTAGCAAGAATTCAATTCCAGTAAAATTACAAGGATCTAAACCATAACCAATAAAAGCAGATCATAATTTAACTCATTGTAAAATTATATATATATATATATGATAAGCCCATCATTAAAATCCTTAATAAGCAAAAATAACTAAAAAGATACATGATTATTCTCCTTAAAAGTGGAATGATTTTTATGATGAGATGATATTCCATCCAAATGTAAGAAAGTAGAAATAAAATAGGGAACACCAATATACATTGCTGGAAAAAATAAAGCACCTATATTTTTATGTTTACATGGAGCTGGACATTCTGCAATGTCATTCGCGAATTTAGCTAATGAAGTAAAATAATATGCTACATTGATTTCATTTGATTTCAGAGGACGTAAAAATACTAACTAAAATATTAGATGGTCAATCAAAAATTGAATTAGAGAATCCAAATCTAAGTGTTTAATAATTATTGGATGATGTAATTGAAATATTCAATTTTGTGACTACATAATGGCCAAAACAAACAGTGATAATAGTTGGTCACTCTATGGGGGGAGCTATTGCAGCAAAATCTGCAAATTTATTAATCACATCATAAAAGGCAGATAAAGTTTAAGGTATTTTGGATTAATATAGATACAATTAGGTTTGATTGTTATAGATGTAGTTGAAGGAAGTGCAATTGAAGCATTACCATTTATGGAACAGATTGTTAATAATAGGCCTAAACATTTTAAATCCTATGAGTAAGCAATTTAATGGAGTTTGAATACATCAACATTAATGACTTTATCATCAGCCAGAGTGTCAATACCTGCATAATTAAAAGAAGTCTAAGATTAGAATGGGAATTTAATTAGTTTAGATTGGAAGGTTGATTTATTGAAGACTTCACCTTATTGGATGGGTTGGTTTGAAGGATTAACAGATTCGTTCCTGTAAATAAGAATACCTAAAATTTTAATGTTGGCTGAGAAAGAGAGGTTAGACAAAGATCTTACTGTGGCTTAAATGCAAGGAAAGTTTAGATTGATTGTGTTGTAGAATACTGGTCATAGCATTTAAGAAGATGATCCTAAAAGCACTGCTTATAATTTCCATGATTTTATATTAAAATTTAGAATCCCAACTACTGTAGAGGAAGTTGATAAACTTAAATAAGTAGGAATTGGAAAGTTTCATCCCACCATTGGGAATTATGAATATTAATAGAAATATTATTGAATAATATATTCATTAAAAATACTTATTATAAAATATATATAATTAATTTAACATTTTTATCACCCTCTTAAAGAATTTTAAACACATCTCCTTGTGTAAAGTTTTAGAAATGATTATTACTTTTCAGAATCTTAATTATTTTCTATCCAAGTTTTTTTTTCAGATTGAGTTAATATGTTTTGTGGTCCCTCTTCCAAAACTTAACTCAAAAGTTGGTGATAATCAATAAATGAGATCTAGGACAAAGCTATTATGCAATCATCAATATAATCTTCCACTTCATCATCAGCTGGTCCCTATCTTAGAGCCTCAAACAACTTTGATGTATATTGAGGGATGAATGGAGTGATTATTTATTGAAATTCTAATGATTTATATTAAATTAATACTATCTTTATATTCTTATGGAATTTATACTTTGAATGCATCATCTTAAGGTTTTAACATTAAGAAAGTTACTTCTAACCATGAGTAAAATACTTTTGCAGCACCTACATGTTATAATCCTATTGCCATCAAAGTTAATTATAAAATTGTTTATAACGCTGAACTTTATAACAATAAAACTGGTGTATATCTACCATATCTTACAAGCATTCCAAACAAATCTTCTGTTAAATCAGGATTCTCTTCAAAACTTGATAATTGAGGTAAATGTTAAAATGTAATATTACATAAATTTTCAAATGCTTCTGATAAAAGATTACGATATTCAGGATATTTATAAAATACAGTTGCTGATACTTCAGCTACATATATGCAAGCTGTTATTGGAACTTATCTATAGACATTCAAAAAGCTCTAAAACACTTATGTAAGTAAATCAACAGAAAATTAATTAAAAGCTTTTCTAAAAGTATGTTTTGTATATCTCACTATTCTCTCTGCTACTCCATGTTCAAAGATTGCTATTCTCTCCATTCCAAATTTTAACATTGGCCATAATTCTTAATAAACATTAACAATTAATATTCTAACTGCTAAATAATCATTTGATTCATTAGCAGGTATTTAACTATTCACATAAGCTAAACTAGAGATATTTTTGCTGAATTGTTTAATCTTTTCTTCCAAAGTATCAGATCCTACTTATGTGACTAGTAATTCTTCAATTTACTATTGTAATTGTACTAAATTTTAAGCAAAAATTGAACACAATTTTAAGTAATAATTTTACATAGTCTCTTAACTTGAACAAATTGCATTAGCTACTCCTTTAATTAAATTATCATAATTAGAGCTAAATATTAAAGGAAAAAAGATTACACTTATTGTAATTTAAATATTAGATCTAAGAATTAATTCAAATGTAACAAAACAAAATTTTGATTTTATTAACAAATCAATTAAAAAGCCTTAGTTGCTTTCTTTTAAACTGAAGACACTTAGTGATGTATTCCTATTGTTATAAAATTAAACAATGATGGCAATAATTCATTTGAAGAAATCAATTAAGCACAACCTTATGAAATTGTTTTGAAAACTAATATTGAATTAATTAATTAATATAATACCTGATTTCATTATAAAATTATTGCTGGCTTATGGTTATTATTGATAGACATCTAAATATAATTTAATAATCTCCATTAAATATTAAACTCCAATCTAATCATTTTTCAATATAATTTATTTAATTATTCCACTTATTAAATTCATACAAGCTTCAAATGTAATCCAACCATTTTCATTCATTTATGGAATGAATTCTTTTTTAAGTATACCTCCTAAATGTTGAATAATTAGATTTGGTTATATGATTGTAACTAATTCTTCCATAATTTCTTTCATTTATGATCTGGTTTCTAATTGTTATTCAAATTCATCTTTAATTTTTGGTGAAATTCCATATTCATTCATAAGTATTTTATTCACTTTACTCTTTTATACACATCCATTAATAAGTTATTCAAAGGTTAATGAAAACTTATTTTATAATTACAAATCATTCATTATTCTAATGGTTTTGATCATTTTAATCCAAAAATCCATTAAGATATCACTTTCAGTATATGAATTTTCATGACAAAATATCCATAAAAATGTTTATAAAAATGGTTCCAATTATGAATTAAGTATAATTTTATGTATACACTTTTTACCAACTTTGGAATATAATTTAATTAAATTATGAATTTCATCACATGTTTCCTCATCTAATGCTTTTTTGCAAGCAGGAAATGTTTTATAAATTTCATCAAATAATACTTATAAAACCTAAGGTTCTAATTATGGTTATTCACATATAGTTTTTGGAATGATACCAACAAATGTACAAATTGCTTCAACAGCTTTACTTTGTAATTCTTCATTACTTATAGATTCTAGTGTACCTTTGAAGAGTGTAGTTTGACTACTTAATTACATAAATTGAATTGCCTAATTTTTAGATTTTTTAATTACTTCTTCTTCTGTGATACTAGATTTCATAAATTCCAACCACTTTTTATAAGATCTCAAAATATGATATTTAATGGAATCATCAGGAATGGTATTCCATTAAGTTTGGAGGAATGTTAGTATATCTAACATTTATTTATTTTTAATGTCTTATGCTATCAATTTTCTCTTCTCATCATCTATTATAATCTTTTTATTTTCTGTTAGTTCATCTGGGAGTGTCTCCAAAACATCAAATAAGAACTTCTAATGAGGACTATTGTTTTAAGAGTAATCAAGAATTTAGGCAATTACTCTAATGATTTATAATATGATTACTCTAAAATTGATTTAGTTTGTTATGAGTAAGTGTACAAGTATAAATAGATAAACATAAGTACACATTATATTCTAGTTGATTTTTAATTTTATACGCTGTAGTGAAGTATGATTTGAATGCAATTTTAATATATCTGTGGTATTTCTGAGGGTTTGAGTGAAACTAATGAATGATAAGATTAGAATACTGAAATCATACAGAATTTTGGATTACAATATACGCAACAATTAAAACACCAATGATTGATCAGGATTTTATTACAATATTTGAATGCATATTCCCCAAGCTTCATTTGATTATGAGAAACTTCTTAGATAACTATCTGTTTATTTAACTTATCCTTAATTAAAAACTTGAATTGCTTGACACACTTTTTCAATCGAAAATTCAGCCATGATTTAATAATTAATTAACTGATGGAATATACTATTAAGGATATGAGTGGATTCCTATTAAATAAGTAAACCTACTCCTATTCCCTAGATAATATAAGCTTCTCAAAAAACTAGGAGCAGGAGCATTTGGTGAAATCTATTCAGCCACAGCCAATGGATTAGATTATGCAATTAAAATTGAGAGATCTGACACTAAACATCCCCAATTGTTATTTGAATCCAAGCTATATTAATATCTAAACAATTCACCTATAATTGGCATACCAAAATATTATGGATATTACTAATAAGATGCATACAATTTCTTAGTAATGGAACAGTTAGGCAAAAGTCTTGAAGATATTTTCTCAGATAATAATCGCATATTCTCATTGCAATCAGTCACTGTACTAGCACTCCAAATGTTAGAATGTATTGAGTTCTTGCATGGCAAATAATTCCTTCATAGAGACATTAAACCAGACAATTTTTTATTGGGTAAAACACATAAAGATAGAGTTTACATGGTTGATTATGGATTGGCTAAAAAGTATATCAATAAAGATACTCATATTCCATATAAAGATAATAAGGCTTTGACTGGAACTGCTAGATATGCTTCTATTAATACTCATTTAGGGATTGAGTAATCTAGGAGAGATGATTTAGAATCTCTTGGATATGTAATAATGTACTTCTTAAGAGGTACATTACCATGGTAAAATTTAAGAGCTAATACTTAAAAAGATAAATATGACAGAATTATGGAAAAGAAATTAGCCACATCTAGTGAAACTTTATGTAAAAATCATCCCAAATAATTATTACAATATATTGAATATACAAAGAATCTCAAATTTGATGAAAAACCAGATTATAATTATCTTAAAAATTTATTTATGTCTATAATGAAGGAAAATGAATTAAGAATAGAATACATATATGATTGGGATGATGAAGATACTCATCGTGATAAAATACTATTAAAGAATTAACCTTCATAATAATAAGATTAATTACAATGTAATAATCTTATTAAAAATACTAATTATTCATAATATAATAACAATAGATAATCAGTTATGAAAACAAAAACTTCATCTATTCATTCGATAAATAAAGTTTCGGTACTGAAAATATAATCAAATATTAATACTTAAAATAGTTAAAATAATACTAAAAAAAACCCAATCAATAACAAAGTTAAATCAATTATCAAAAAACATTCAAGTTTACATTATAACTGATATATTTTATGAATAAAAATACAATTATTAAAATTATAGTTTATGTTTCTTTGTAAATTCATTTAATTTATTTTCAAATATGATGTCATGTTTTGAATTATATCTTAAAATAGTTTCATTTCTTAAATAATTTATTACTTTTTCTCAGTCTGATATTTCTACTTATTTAGATATATCTTAATATCTAAAAGAATTTCTATTTATTTTAGTTATCTAAGTAGATTAGATATTAATTAATTACTTATTGAATAGTTTTGATTAGATCAAAATAAATTAATTACTTAATATTATTATATAATAACATTTGAAAATGAAAAAAAGAAGAAATCAATTTAAATTTCAAAATAGTACTCATATACAGATTGTAAATCTAAGATTAGAATAATAAATATTAAACTTTTACTTTAAAATAAACCTCCTAAAACACATAATTTTTATGTTTTATTTTAAAAATGAAACAACTAAATAACTTAAAATATGATTCTTAATATTTAATGAGATATCTAATAAAGTTTTTGTTTCATGAAAACACTTTCTTACTAAAAGTAAAATCTAAAATATATATTAAATCAACTTATAAGTTAATTAGAAAAATAATAGAATTATGAATTAAATACATTAATTTAATATACAAATATTTCATTTATATTATTATGTATGCAGCTAATCATTAACTCCATTAAATAAGCTAAGTCGATGTATGGACTCCTAAAAATGTCAAGGTTTCTTTAGAATTAATGAAAGATGTCATTTAGACCCTTTAACGAGAAGAGAATGTTTTGTACAATATTTCAATATTTAATAGATTGGAACATGTTAATACTGAAGTTAGGATATTTTCATTATTGTGCTCATCTCTTGCTTGGCTCAAGAGTCAGAAAGAAAATTCCACCAATTTAGAGAAATAAAAATCCTTAAGAATTGTTTATGTTTCATAAAATCAGGCTTATCTAAATTAGGCAGAAGAATAATTAAAAAAAACAATTTATAAAAATAAATTAATATACTTCAAAGAGGATTTGAGCTTAAATCAAATATTAGAGCATGACCTAATTTTTATGACAAAGGACAGTTTGATTTCCTATGAATAATAAGATCTTAAGAACTCCATCTTGATTTTTGATAGTTTCGAGTGTGTATAAGATCAAAAATTGTTAACGAAGATTTCTTTAAAAGCAATCGAAATTGCCCAAAAGGAATTAGATGATTTGGCATCTAAAAGATAATAAATGGAGGCATATTTTTCTGAATTACATTCGTACGAAAACATTAAGAAGTTAATGTAATATTTCCTCGAATTTTAATTTAATAATTAATATGATAAACGTAAAGAAATCGATATAAAGTTGATAATTGAAAATTACTTTATAAAAAGAAATTTGAGCTTTAATACATATATGGGATACGTTTAAGTAATATTGAGATAATAAGATGCCTCTAAGTTGGATAATCTTAGTCTATGGTGCAAATTCATTAAGTCTGTATATAAATTATTTATAAATAAATAAGATTATACGGATAATTATAAATCATATATAAACAAAAATAAAAATGGTAATGTGATTTTTATTTGCCTCAGATATTATTCATAATATATGTTAGATCATTTAAGAAACCTAAAATTTTAATCTATTATAATTTCATCAAAATATTTGTCTTCCCCTTATGATTAATTTCTAAATAAGATTTAAATTAAGCAAATTGTAGATTAGAGTTAATTTTTTTAGACATTTTACATATAATCTCATAATGAAAATTTTGGTTTATTAAAGACTTTGAATAATATTTATAAATCAATACCAAATAGTATTTTGGTGATTTTTTAACAAAGGGATAAAATAAATGAATTTAAAAATTATTGTGAAAAAGAATAATCTAATATTTTTTTAGAAATGGAGAAAAAAAAAAAGCTGTTTTGGGCACAGAAAGGCTAAAAATATAAACCATATGATTTTATAACAAGTTCAAAAGATGGAGCAATTTTATTTGAAACTTATAGTGGGATTTTTAAAAAAGAATTTAATTTTCCAAATTCATTTTAATTTTGTAAAGCTATAATCTTGACTTGTATGTGTGAACCAAATTATTTCAAAGTAGAGGAAGTTTAATATGCAAATGATGAAATATCCTTGTAATATTTTTAAAACAGATCTTTCAATCGTATAATCTAAAGAACTTTACTTTAAGAGAATAAAAATGGGTAGTTTATAGTTTTTAAAATAGGGTTTTAATCATTTATGATTAGAAGGAGAAAATGTACAAATGGATAGAAAATTGTGGTATATAGTAACTCAATTAATTGGATTTTGATAATCCATTTTTTATTAAAATGATTGAAAGATAGTGTAAAGATTCAATTGAAGTAGAAAAAGAGTCTAATTAAAATAATGTATAAGTAATTTAACAATAAATACAAAGTGGCATATAAAATAATCAATAAAGCATTGCTATGAATTTATCATTAGTACCAAATTTATAATAAATTGAAAATTAATAACAATAGTAAAATATAAATGTCAGCACAATAGAAAATATTTAGATTGAATAGATAGAAAGTGAAAGTGAAGATTCTTTTGATTAATTTGAATATACTTTTTAGGATTGAAGATAATATGTTTGAATAATATATTTGATTGTCTTAAATTTGATTAATACAATTTATTTTAAATGTAAAAAATTAATAAATAATCTTATTTTTATTCTTATAATAAATATATTAATTTAAGTATTAAAGGATGTCTGATATCAACAGTGAAGAGAATTCAACTAGTAGTCGTGAAATTAATATTGAATAGATTACAGTATAAATTAGAATAATTATTTTTTATATAGGCTAAACTATATGTTGAATTGATAGATGTAAGAGATCCAAGTTAGAATTATATTGAATATTTCTCATAATTTGATTTGAGTAAAATGTAATAAGCGAATGGAATAAATATATTCAAATTGNAGATTAGAGTTAATTTTTTTAGACATTTTACATATAATCTCATAATGAAAATTTTGGTTTATTAAAGACTTTGAATAATATTTATAAATCAATACCAAATAGTATTTTGGTGATTTTTTAACAAAGGGATAAAATAAATGAATTTAAAAATTATTGTGAAAAAGAATAATCTAATATTTTTTTAGAAATGGAGAAAAAAAAAAAGCTGTTTTGGGCACAGAAAGGCTAAAAATATAAACCATATGATTTTATAACAAGTTCAAAAGATGGAGCAATTTTATTTGAAACTTATAGTGGGATTTTTAAAAAAGAATTTAATTTTCCAAATTCATTTTAATTTTGTAAAGCTATAATCTTGACTTGTATGTGTGAACCAAATTATTTCAAAGTAGAGGAAGTTTAATATGCAAATGATGAAATATCCTTGTAATATTTTTAAAACAGATCTTTCAATCGTATAATCTAAAGAACTTTACTTTAAGAGAATAAAAATGGGTAGTTTATAGTTTTTAAAATAGGGTTTTAATCATTTATGATTAGAAGGAGAAAATGTACAAATGGATAGAAAATTGTGGTATATAGTAACTCAATTAATTGGATTTTGATAATCCATTTTTTATTAAAATGATTGAAAGATAGTGTAAAGATTCAATTGAAGTAGAAAAAGAGTCTAATTAAAATAATGTATAAGTAATTTAACAATAAATACAAAGTGGCATATAAAATAATCAATAAAGCATTGCTATGAATTTATCATTAGTACCAAATTTATAATAAATTGAAAATTAATAACAATAGTAAAATATAAATGTCAGCACAATAGAAAATATTTAGATTGAATAGATAGAAAGTGAAAGTGAAGATTCTTTTGATTAATTTGAATATACTTTTTAGGATTGAAGATAATATGTTTGAATAATATATTTGATTGTCTTAAATTTGATTAATACAATTTATTTTAAATGTAAAAAATTAATAAATAATCTTATTTTTATTCTTATAATAAATATATTAATTTAAGTATTAAAGGATGTCTGATATCAACAGTGAAGAGAATTCAACTAGTAGTCGTGAAATTAATATTGAATAGATTACAGTATAAATTAGAATAATTATTTTTTATATAGGCTAAACTATATGTTGAATTGATAGATGTAAGAGATCCAAGTTAGAATTATATTGAATATTTCTCATAATTTGATTTGAGTAAAATGTAATAAGCGAATGGAATAAATATATTCAAATTGACAAGCAAACTTAAAGAATTAGGAATATAATTGGAAGGACGCACAATTTCATATTATAGTTTCGATTGTGAAATGTATATTAATTGTGGATTGGATCCTGTACATTATTCTTATGTAATGCCATTAAATGAAATTAAATAAACAAATTAATTACGTATTAAATGCATTTAGACTGGGATTTCACTGATTCATTTAGTAATGTCTGAAGAGATGAATGAGAAAGTTAATAAAATGAAAGAGTAAGAAGGAAATGAACAATCATAATAATAGTAATAATAAGGTTAGGAGAATTAAAAACAATGTAGAAGAACAAAAGAGAGGAGAATAGGATATATCATAGATAAAGTTGCAAAATGGAGGGAATATTATAATGTAATATATTGTTATGAATATATTTTTAAAGGGTATTAAAATAGATGGGGAAAGTAAACGATTTACACTTGAAGAAGCTGCTCATAAAGTTAGTATCTCCAAAAAGAGTTTAGATGATTATTTACTATAGATTAGATATGGAAGAAAATTCGGATTTAATTTTAATGAACATAAAAATGAAAAGGTTGGAGTCTTAAGAGCTTTTGTCAAGAAGAACAATTCTACAAAGAAGAAGAAGGTAAAATAAGAATGATTACCAAGTTTAAAATATCAATGAGTTTATTTCTATTCATTATCATTAATTAATACTTTACAAAAAAAGACTATATTTCCTCTATTATATATTGAAAAGCAAAAGAGTTGCTATATTATGATAATATTGTTATGTGTATAATATCTATTGTAAATTTGTTAATCCATTCAATTATAATCTATAAAATTAAATTTTATGGACACATTTTTTATAATAATTTAAATTTTAAGGTACATTGAAGAAAACTTTTCATTTACTATTATTCTATATAATACTATTAAAACAAAAGTTATAGGATAATATATTTTAAAACTAAAATGAAACATTTAATCTAATAGTAATTGTAAGATATCAAGTGTACATAAAGAAAGGAAAGCTTCAATGTGTAGGAATGATAGAGATGAAGACATTAAGTATATTATATTATGATATATAAATGAATAATATACATTATACCACATATCCGTTTTAATTATTTATAATAATGTATAAGGTTATATTATTATGTTCACTTGTAATATTTGCAAGTAGTATGAATGAGAGTGAAACACTTTTGTAAACATTACAAAATAGTGAATTTGGAAAAACAATTATCCAAACTATATAAGTTTAATTAGAAGGTAATAGTAGTGTAGACAAAATAATTGAACTTCTTACTTAAATGAAGGATAGGATTAATGGAGAACAAGATGTTGAAAGATAGAAATCAAGAGATCATACATAATTTTGTGATGACAAATATGATGAAATATTATTTGTTATAGATTCATCTGAATATTAATTAGCTAAAGATTAATCAACATTACCATTATTTATTTAAGAATAAAAAAATAAATAGAGATAATTATTAGATAAATAAGAAATTGAAGATCGAAATAATTAACGTATTGCTGAATTAACAGATTAAAGAGATTTAACAAGAGTATTAAATATATGATAAATTAGTAATAATATGAATCAAGAAGGGATGAATTAACTAATATGATAGGTGCATTATAAGAAGGGAAAAGAATAATTAGTAAATTAAGTACAAAAAAATGGGATCCATTAGCTGGAACTTATTCATTCCTTGAATTTTCATAATTTATGTTTAATGAATTAGAAGCACATTAAAAGTAATTAAAAAAATAATCTAATGGAATTGGTTTATTATATGAATTACTTTTAGAAACTTCATAGTAATATGTTAATTTTTATTTATTAGAGATCCAGGAATATAAGCAAATTAATAGGGAGTATCAAAGATTTAAGAGATAATAGATGAATTAATTGAAAGCATATTTGATCTTTTGAAAAAAGAATTATTGGAAGATAATGCAAGAGAATAAGATTATTAAAATTAAAAAGAAAGAATAGTTATTTAGAATAGAAGATTATAAGCTACTATTGCAACATTTAAAGCAAGAGTTTTAATAATAAATCAAACCATACTTGAATTAAATAATGATATTAGATTCAATACTGAAGTAAGACAATTAATAGATATATTTATAGAAATCTACTTTATTGAGAAAATAAAAAGATGATTGGGAAAGAACTTGTGTTGATTATCATAATGGTTATGTTGAAGCTACTAAGATTAGGTATTTTTTTAATATATTAAATTCTAGAACTTAATAAAGTGATATTTTAACAGAGGTTATTCAAGTATTTAATAGAAACTACAACGATTTCCCAAGTTTAATTTAGAATATAACAGTTTGATTAATTTATTAAATGAAAAATGATAAAGAGTTCTCTATTAAGGAAACTGTCAATAAAAACATTGAACGTGTTTAGTTTCCTGCTTTCAATTAGCATAGTAGTCTACTTGGTTGGTGTTCTATGAATTACCCTCGTGTCCTTTAAAATCCTTAATTTATGCCTAAACCAAAACCAAAAGAATATGATGACAATCTTGATTTTCTTTATTAGAAACGTAAAAAAGTACTACTCTTATACATAATTTAGGAATAATAAAATAATCAACTAATAAAGCCATTTACAAATTATCAGTTAACAAAAGAAGCTGTAATTCCTGAAGATATTGGTGCTCCTCCTCCTGGATTTAAGAAGACACTTAAATAATTAACAACAGCAAAACCTGAATCAAAGGCTCTTATATATGATTAAACTTATAAAGAATATGATTAATATTTGAATATTAAACCAATCAATAGTTAATTCAAATAAGAATAAAATGAAAACTTTACTAGAACCATTCGTTAAGTTGGTGATGTTGTATATAATTAATCATATGAGAATGAAGATATTAGACATTTAAAGGTATTATACAATAATAATATATAATATAGAAATTGCCAAATTCAATACTTTCTGAACAGAATCTTTAAGATGCCTTAAATCCTAAATTAAAATTTTTGAATTTACATAATCATACTTGGTTGAAAATGGAACAAATTAGCAAAATTGGATATTTTGCTATCAATCTTGAAGAGTTAGTATTATCTAATACAGAATTAGAGGATGATATATTAATGGAATTAGCAAAATCATGTAAAAATTTAAAAGTTATTGATGTATCATCATGTTAAAAATTAACTGAAACTGGAATTAGAAATTTTTTGGATTATACTTCAAAATATTTATAAGGTTTTAAATGTGCTAGTAATTTATAATCAATTACTGATTATTCATTAGAACCATTATAAAATGCTCCATTAATATAAAGAATTAACATTTCCTTTTGTAATAATTTAACAAGTAATTTTACAAAATATCTACTTTAAAGTGGATGCAAATTAAAAGAACTTTAAATAGCAACAGTAGAAAACTTATAAGCAGATTTATTATCTGATTTAATTTCACGTTCAAAAATAGAAATGGAATATTTAGATTTGTCTTTCATTCCTACTAAAGATATTAGTGATTCAGTTATCTCTGCAACTTCCCTTTGTACAAATATTCATACACTTATATTATCAGGATCAACTAATATTAGTGATTCTTCAGTAGGTAGATTGAGTTCATTACATAAACTTAAATAACTTAAATTAGGTGGAATCTAATATGTTGCTGACAATACATTAATATATCTTGCATAATCATGTAATAAACTTGAAATGCTTGAACTTAATAATTGTAGTAAATTGGGAGAATAAGGATTAGAAGGAATACTAAAAGTATTATAAATTTATTAATTAAATAAAGGCATTACCTAATCTATAGGTTATTTCAATTAATTTTACTCCTGATATATCTGATGCATTCTTGTAAGAAAAAAGAAATGAGTATCCAAAAGTAAATATTATTCGAACAATAAATAAAATGACAGATCCAAAAGATGATGGATTAAGAATGCCTCTTCCTTTAGAAAGTGTTGTTATGTAGAGACCCAAAAAGAAAAAGAAGAAGTGAAATTATAATTAATATCTTCATATATTATTAAATATGTTATATTCATTAATTCATATTTAACTTATCAATTTCAACTATAATTATTAAATTTGTTCAAATAATTTCTTCCACTCTGATTTCTACATACATTTATATGGACATGTTTAACAATGTGGACATTAACTAACTAATAGTGAATAACAAGATGGCAATTAAACAAAATAACTTAATAATGATTTTATTTTATCTTAAATCTAAATTATAAATTATATATTAAATTACTTTTTTTAAATCTAAATTATCTAAAATTGGTATTACACTCATTTATATTATAGATAGATTATTTATAATAATTTTTTCTAATTCTCCTTTGAATTAATTGTTAACTTATATTTATCCTAATAATTTAGTATCTTCTAAAATTTCTAAAATAAATTAAATCAAATCTTTTAATAATACTTCATTAACTAAAGATTATTTATGAAGTAGATTTAAAATACCAATTGCTGATGATTTTTCTTATTTAATTAAACCAGGTAATTACTATAAATTTGGCATAAATCCTTATTATTATAAGAAATATCTTAATTTTATTTATCTATTAAATCTAAATGACATTTTAAATAAATTCTATGCAATATTTAATAGATATTAATAAGTCTATTCATTAAGTAATTTAATATGATGATCTACTATATCTTATATAATATCAATTAACATTAATTATAAAATGCATTTCAAAGTTAATTAATCAGAATTTAATCTAATTTAATTTTTTGGTAAATTTAAACTTAATAAATCATCTATAATTGATTAATCTAATTATGCTGCTTCAAATAAAACATTTGGAGTTGTATTCTAAACCATTAAATCCAAAATTTAAATAGTTTAATTCCAATCCAATTTCTGTCCTTCCTTTATAATAATCGATTTAAATGTCATTACACTTGTCTTTGCCAAATATTCATTAGTTTAGAATGTACTATTTAATAAAATAGTTGATATTTCATTGTAAGCTTCCTTTATATCATGATCAAACACTAATTCTAATAGACTTTTATGAGCCATTTAACATATTTCTTTTTTAGCTTTACTTAATGAAACAAATAATTCTTTCATCATTCCTTTCATTATTTATACATATTAATGTCCTTTAATATTTTGTGTATTTGATTTTAATATCTTAAAAAATGATTGAATAGCTTATTCTTAAATTTATTATTGATTATTTTAGAATAAATTGCATATATGAGCTAATGATTGCATCCAAAATGCATAATACAAATTATTATCATGTTTCATTAATGAATCTACTGCATTTTAAACATATTCAATTCCCTTTAATAAAACATGTTATTCTTCTCGATTAAAAAGAAATTAAAATGTTTAATCAATTTCATCAAAAATGTCTTTTAAATTAATTAGATCTTCACTGAATACTTTATTTAAGACATCTATTGATATATTTACTAACACTATAGATTCTTATAGTGATTAATTAATTATTTTAAATACTACTCTCCAACCACTCTTCAATTTATAATAACACATATGAGCTAACATTCTCATACAAGATAATATAAATTCTTTTACTTCTGAAAATTATGTTTATGCATATATTAATTCAAATGGTTATAGAAATTCCATTTAAAATTTAAAGTTATTATGTTCATATTGTTAAATAAACTTTACACTCATTTATTTTAATTGATCACATGCATATAAAGATATATCAGAATTTGCATGAATACCAGCTGTAACAAAATGAGCTTTCAATAAATTCCAAATCTACATCCATATCAATCTTATTCTATCCATATTAAAACTAGTCACTTCAACTAATCTCTATAAACTAAAAATCCTTGGTTCTGGTAATGTAATTTCATTTAGAGACACATCAATTAAAGATTATAGAAAATCCAATATAGTTCTAGAGTCCATATTACTTGTATTCTACATTACTTTATCAATACTAGAAATATCAATTATATTTTGAATATTTTTGCTTATACTTTCTAAAGGTTCCTATAAGATTTTACCTTTTTATTTTTCATTTAATAAATAATTAATTGAACTAATTATTTCCAGTACTGGTCTCCAATTATTTTTTAAAGCATTACCATTTTTTATAGCTAAATCTATTATACACTATAAAGCCTTATAATTTTTTTATTTTAATTATTTATTTTCCAATGAAGCCAATTAACATAACCATTAAATGAATTGTTAACATAGATCACAAATACCAACCATACTCATTAATTAAAGTGTATAAGTAGCATTTTACATAGCAATTGATATTATTTAAACATTTTCTGTTCTCTCAATTGTTACATTCAAATTAACAAATAAAGCTGGCCAAAATACTTCCATAAATAATTTTATATAATCTATTCTAGGCATAAAAATATAGATTTTCTATTGTAATGATTTTCTCTCCAAATTCATCCAATTTATTTGAGAATTCTATTACTTTTCAATACTTGAATGAATAGCTAATGGTTCTTATAAAATTTAATCATAACAATATCTCAAATATTCTTCCCCTAAATCTCTTTCCATAGATAATTTTGAAGATTTACAAAATTGTTAAAATGTCATTTTCGTTTTAACTGATTTATTATAGATATCAGTCTACAAAATAATTAACAGATATGAAAACACATATGTTTCATCACTAGTCTTGAATACATCACCAGGATTATCTTAAAAAAACTTCTAAGAAAATACCAACATACATCTATCTACTTACTATGCTTCTCCTGGCAATGTAAAATAATTAAGATATTTCCTTAAAGCATCTACTATATGCTATCCTTTAAAATCAATTGATTATGAATAGATTTAAAATATTAATTAATGATTCTCTTTACTAGAACCAAAGAATTATCCCAATTATTCCTTATTAAATGGATTATCATGTAAAAATTAAGCAATTTAAGCATGACTAAATATTAATATAATTTATACTTATTTTCTTCTAATATTCCTTAATTTATTAAATATTCTAATCCTTCTTTCCAATTAAGTGAAAATTTTTACATTCCTGTCAAGATCTATTATTTATACGTTAACTATTTTTCATGCCCTTATATATATAATTAAATTACTGATCAAAATGTTCAATATTTTTTATCATTTTTTTTAATTAATCATGATTTTATTCCTCTATTTATTCTGAATTATAACCAGCAATACTATTATTTTATTCTTCTTAAACTAGTTTTATAAATTATTGAAGATGTTTTTAAATAATACTATTGGCAATAAGACAATTATCTTAATTAGTCTACTCTCCTTAAGCAATTTAAGCTACCTTCTCAAATAATGTTTAAACTACATTCTTTCTTTCAATTACACAATCATGATTTGTAAAGAGTTCTAATATTAATTTTGGATACTCAATTAATTAAAGTGTAAAATCAAGAAAAGCTGATGTTTAATCAGAAGGTAATTTATTAATAACAAAATCAAATATAATTTCTAATTGTATTTATAAGAGATCTCTTGCATGAAATATTAATAATAATAATATTTTAAATGTAGTAGTTGATGTTCTTTTATTTTTCAAATTTAAGCAAATCATATTTATAAAATTCTCATCAAAATTTAATTATTAAATATGTAATGGATAAGATTCTATAATATATAAAATAAAATCCAAACAAACTTCTTTCTTAATATTTTTATCTTTATTAGCTTTTGATGATAAATATTTGAAAATAATTTAACAATCATCATTCCTACTCTATTATCCACTCTACATAATTTTAATATTTTCAATCATTTCAAAATGTTTCTTTTTACAAGGTACTGAACATACAGGCACTCTAGTATCTTTACAAAAATAAGGAGCTGGTTATCTACATAAAATACACCAACCAAATTTTCCTGATGTAATTCCATTTTCAACAACCTTTACTTCTATATAATTTTTGTATTTAATATCTTCTGCTTCCCATGCTTAAGGAACAGAAGCTATAGGAATATTTGCTTATCCAGTTTTTATTCTTTCATTATATAAAATAACATCATCTACCATATGTCTCAATGTGATTGACACATATTCAACAATATCTCCATCTGATATTGCTACTTCTTCTATCTCTTTAGGTTCATCATAAAATGAATTCCATGACAAACCTTTATTCAACATATTTTCCATATCAACTTTTACTTGACTATTGTCATATACACTCTTTATGGCCTATTTGATACTATTCTTTATAGAACCCATTCCTAATTTATAAAGATGTAAATAAGCTTTAAATGTAGACAATAATGTCTCTCCACTAATAAGCAATCTTTGTTATTTAAATAATGCATCTATGCATTTTACAATCAAATAATGTAAATTTTCATCTTACAATTTAGTACAACTTATTATGGATTCTACAATTGAATCTATGAGCATCCTATCTTTCTATTTACCCTTTTCAAATTCTAAGTAATCATAAGAATAACCATCTATAAAGTTTTAAGATATCAATTTCTTAAAATAGAGGGAAATTATACTTCGAGATCATAGAGGCAACATTCAGTAATTTTATTATGTTTGATATCGATACAATATTTATAGATGATGAAATACTTATTGGCATTTGTTGCAAACCTATTAACATCATTTTTTGTCTATTCAATTTGCTCTTATTATTAAATTATTAATACCTAATGATTTATCAATCAATGTCTTAAGACTAACCATTTATTTTGGAAGAAGCTTAAGGAGCTTATTTAATGAACTAGTGAGCAATTCTTGATAAATAACATGACTGTCTTAATTTTAATTCATTTTAATTATAATTATTTATAAAATAATATTAATAATGTTTATTTATTTAATATAAATATAAATATTTTACAAAAACCCATTATTTACAAAAAAATTTATAGACTAAATGTTTTTTACATAATATTTTATAAAAGAATATAAAACAAATTTTAGTTATATTAATAATTGTTTTACGAAAAATATTAGTAACGCATCTATGATTAAACTAGCTCAATATTATTTTAATGAAGATCTGTATTGTATGTGTATTTTATTTAAGATTATTTTTTCACTAAAGGCAAAACATAATAAATATCATAATTTTCAAATCTTTTATTTATAACTGCAATTAATATTGTATTATAATTTTCATTATTAAAAATGATGACCTATTGCTTGAAAAAACCCGAGAAAATATAAACTAAACAGAGTTTGAAAATGCTTTAAACTTAAAGCTGTGAAATATTTATGATGAATATTGAATATAATTTATCATCGTATTTTACAAGATTAAGTAATTGTAATTTTAATTGTTAATATTGTGTTAACAATGATTTTAAGAAATTAAGAGGAGGAGGATGTGGATAATCAAAAACAAAAAAGAAATTGGATTCACAATTACAAAAGGATTAAAATTAAATGACTTCAGCATAATTACCCATAGATTATGAAAAAAACCTTATTGAATGCCTTAAGCTGATTGTAGATGAAGCTCAATTCTTTTGTGACACAAATAAGAGAAATGAAGTAATTAAGAAAATATAATGGTTTATATATAATAGAGAATACTTGAATTATTATTGTTGTGACGAATAAGCAGTTGCCACAATTTATGAATTAGCTAAAGCAAATTTTGAAAGTTTATTAACAGTGCTTATCACCTATTTAAGAAACTCTGGATTTATTTGTTATTAAATATTATAGATTTGTAATGAACTGTTAAGAATTATGTATATTTTCTAATATAGAGAATAAAAGAGATTTTTAAAAGATGAAGATAAATAAAATTACATATAAAAATTATCAGAATTTGAAACATAATTAGAAATTGAATAAGCAAATGTTTGGAAAACAGGATTTGAATTTGAAATAAAAATTATGAAAATCATGATTATTAATTAAAAAACTGATTCTACTGAAGGATAAGATGCATTAATAAATTTCTTAAAGGAAGCAGGAAAATCAATTATATCATTATCACCATCTGAAGATTTACTTTCCACAATAATGGATGGGGGCAAGTATCTTTTAAAAAAAGGAGTTGAAAAAAAATTATATCCAATAGAAACTTATTAAACTTATTACTTATTCTAATTGATGAAATGGTCAATCATAAAATCATTAAAATCTTAACTTTCCGTTTATAAATAAATATCATAATTAAAAGATATTTTTTAATAATATATATTTGTGTCTGATAATTGGATTATACATTTTAGTTGGGTATAAATGATTATCGATATTATCGCTTATCGTCCTATCATAAATAAATCTGATATATCTATGAATTAATAAGACTAATATTTACTTAAATGGACTCTGCTAATTGAAAATAATTTAATTAATTGTGTTTCACCTAATTAGGATGAGGCTATTATGAATTTGTTTTTAGACTAAGAAAAATAAATATATGACATTGAATTAACTAGAGAATTGGATAAATTTAGTAAGAAAAAGTTTGTACTATTTAATTAATTTCTTTTAAAAGGAGATCTAACTCAAAATGTAAATTAATGGGACTATTATAAAGAATTCACATTTAAAAAGTAAAAAGATAAAAAATAAGAAGATTATGAAATCATATTAGCAAGTTATGAAATAGAAATATTGTAAAAATTAATTAACAATTTAAAATCTTAGTAAGATGAATTATTATCAATTCATTCAGGTATTATAGAATCATTTTAAACTTATTTTAAATAACCATCTTCAATGTTATTATAGATTATTTAAGATGATCAATAAGCAACTTAAAAGTAATTCTTACAAGCTTATAAATAATTGATCATTTTATCTAATTACTTTAAAGAATTATCTAAATTTGAAGTTTCGAAATTGGATTTGCTTAAGCCTTACTTAGATAAATTTAAAAATTTAGAAAATCAAAAGAATTTACTTGATCTTAAAACAAAGATTGATAATTTTTAAAACACAGAACTTATTGAATTTATTGATCAACTTTTAAATAATTTCTTGATTGCTATTGAATTTGCATGTATTACGCATGAAATGTAATAATTTTTAGACTCTAAAAATTAAACAGATTTAGAAAAATTAATTAAGAAACTTGATACTGACAAATCTTAAGAGAAGTTTTTAGGCTTTGAAATAGATAAATTTAAAAAAATATTTACAACATTCGAAAATAACTTTAATTAATTTTACATAAATTTAAGATCATATAAAGAAAATTTTATAAAATTTATTCAAAAGGAGTTAGATATAAAGTCTATGACAATTTAAATATAAGATTAGAACACCTTATAAATAATTGAATATTATTAATATAAAGATAAGAGTATCAATAAATTATTATTATAAAAATGGAAGGAGAAATATCAATTATTTGATTCTGAATTAAGAACTTTAGAGAATGTATAGTAAAATTTTATTGATTGTAAGTCCATCATTATAACTTTATAATTCTTAAAATAATTCATAAATATATAAAGTTAATAAATGATGATTATTAAATAATAATTAGAAAATTATAATTAATAAACCAATTTAACTTAAAATTAAGTGAATGTCGATAAAAAACAAACTATTAATGATATTTTAACTTAATAACTATAAAAAATTGAACCGTTGATCATAGAAGATTTCAATAAATCTGATTAAGAGAATATTGATTTTAATTTAAAAAGTCTATTAAGTTAAATAGAGTCTGATTTTAATTTAATTAAAAGTGAATGTTAGAAATAGGAAAATTAAGATAATAATCATTCAATACTCTCATTGTTAACAAATGCCTAATTCATAATTCTATAAATATTAAATAAGAATACAGACTTATCGAATTAATAAGGTTTTTTGAAAAGCTATTAATAAAGTTTGAATGATTTTAATCAAAAAACTAAAATAAATAAGTAAAAATTTGAAAACGAAGAAAATAAAGAAAAAGAAGAAAAAGAATAATAACTGAATGATTCATCTCTTATTTTGTTTAATAAAATTTTGGATGATGATCAACAATTAATTATATCAATTAAAGAAATAAAAAAATAGTATAAATTCTATGAAAAACTTTTAATTTTATAAATAGAATTAATACTCTAATAAAAGAATATTATAAAGGATAAAGTAATACTAGAGTAAGATTAACAGAACTAATAGTTAAGTAGTTAACCAGATAAATTGAATTAGATTAAAAAAATAAAAGAGATGAGAGAGTAACATTTTAATTAAAAAGTAAAAGACTCTATTGAAAAACTATTTAACAACTTTGAAATTCAATTTAAAAATGATAATAAACTTATCATTAAATTAAAATTTACAGACTTTTTATAGTTTTTTTACTCTCTATCTAATTCTGAATATCAAAAAGGATTAAAAGCTGATCAAATAGAGGACTCTATATGGTAGGATATAAAAAATACTTATAAGGAAACTAAAGACAAGGTGGTTGATTTGTTAGATTTTAAACCTGATCAAAAAGTTAGAGAAGGATTTGTTTACAGCCTAATTAGACTTTAATATAGTGTTTAAGAATAAAAAGTTAAAGGTTTCTGTTGCCAATATCTACAATACATTTGGGTATTTGAAAAAGATTAAAGAGTTAGAAATTTATTGAAAAATAAAGAATTAGTTGAAATTTAGAAATAGTTATTTGCTTAGTATCTAGATAATTTGTCACTGACAATTAAAGATGAATTGAAGTTAAGAATGTAAAAGTTAGAAAGTCTACAATAAGAAATCAAGCTAGAAGGAAATTTATAAAAAAGAGAGGAACTTTAAATTTAATTAAAGAAGACTTATGACGAATTAGATGAATCTTTAGATAATATTTCTGAAATGTCAGACAAAATGGACATTAGTCTTATATTTTTGAAAGATATCTCAAAGGATGTAAAATAAATTAAAGCTTCAATTGATAATTTATAAGAGAGTATAAATTAAGTAGGTGATGATATTCGTAAACTAAGAGGAAAGAGATATGATGAATTATTAGAAATAAGAAAATAAAAAATATTATTATAATCTAAATTAACTGAAGTAGATTCAGTTTATGTTTAATTAACAACTATTGAATATGATCCTATTAGTGGGTAAATTATCAAATCTAATGATAATGAAATTAGAACTAAATTATTAAGTGAATAATAGAATGACTTTAAAGGAGAAGTAAATGAATTTATTTGGGATAAAAATAGTTAAAAAGATGTAATGTTAGTTTCAGGATTTGCAGGTTCTGGGAAAAGTAAAGCAGCTAGAAAAATTGAAGAATTTCTTTGGAAATAAAAAGGAACTTAATCAAAATGGATTCCAATATATGTATCACTTCCAACTCTTAAGAATCCTAAATTTAATTTATTTGAATAAGCATTAGAATCTGAAAATTATTAATTTGATAAATATTAGATAAAAGAATTTAGAGAAGCTATATAAACTTAAAAAGAATTCATTATTTTAATACTTGACAGTTATGATGAGATGAAATAAGATTGTATTTAATCAAATCTACTTTTGACAAATAAATTGATATAAGAATTTAATACTACTAATATATAAATGAAAGTTATTATAACAACAAGAAAAGAAATACTTAATACAGTCGGATATTAAACTTGGTTTTATGGATAAAGTCTATAATATTTAAAAGAAGTTTAGTTATAAAATTTTAATGAAGATTAATAAAATGAATATTTGAATTAATATGTTGAGTTAAGTATTAAAAGGAAAATTAAGGAAATCTATGAATTTGTAAAATAAATTGCTGGATAAGGCTTTGATTTGGACGAATTCCTTAATATATGGGGTTTGATTTCATAATAAGTTAAGAATTATATCGAGAAATCTGAAATAAAGGGATTGGAAGGTATTTTCTTTAATAACACTGAAGAATTGATAATTACAAAAATAAAAACCCATAAAACTCTTGAAATTTTAAAAGAAGAATAAACAACTACTTTAAGAAAGGATTTGCTAGCCCTGTGGAGTGCTAATAAATTTAAATCATCTATTAAAAGTGTCAATATTGAAAATTTATTAACTACTCCATTTATGCTGGAAATTGTTGTTTAAGTTTTACCAAATATGACCAAAAAATATTAAGGATCATAATAAATGAAAGAACTATTTATTAATAATTATTTAAAATTGAAAAAATAAGTGAGAATTTCCAAAATTACAAGAGAATTGTATCAAACAACAAATTAATAATTAAAAAAGAATGAATAAGATGAAGAATAATAAATATCTTAAGAAAAGGAGGAAGAATATTAATAGAAAAATGAAAAAGCTAGAATAATTTAAATTGTTGATATGCTTGATAATGAGAACTTTTTCTCAAAATATTAAATAGTTAGTTAATTAAATTATAAAGAAAATGCTATTATTATTGATAATACTAATATTTCAATAGGTTCTAATGAAATTCAATTTATAATAATGGCTTTATAAATGAAAAGATTTACAGTTTTTGAATTTTATGAAAGTTTTATTAATTTTTATCATGAATAATAAATTCAAAAATAAAGAGAACTTGGTAAAATTTATAATTAGGATAGTTTTTCAATTGATATTTATTAATACTCTTATTCATTAGCCATAGATATGACTATAAGGGAATTATCATAAATAGGTTATAAACCATTAGGAAAATTGGATTTAAAAAGCAATTATAAAATTGATTAAATTATTGATGATTGGTTGAAATAATATTTTGATATTGAAGATGAATACAAGAAATTAATTAGAAGTTGTATTTTATTAAGTGCAAAGGGTAGTACTTTTTCATTTACACATAAATCAATACAAGAATTCTTTGTTGCCAAATATATTTATGATCTTTTGACATCTCTAAATAGTTTTGAATCTAAAATCTTAAAAGATAAAGAAGAAAATTTAGAGAAAAATTAAAAAATGTTAATAAATTCAGTATTTAATAATTCAAAATTTAATATCTCTACTGATAACTTTAGAGGATCAATAAATTTTATTAGAGAACATTTGACTAATGTTGAAAATATTAATTCATAATTGATTGAAATAGTTAAGCTATCAAGGAGTAAAGATTATTGTAGAGCAGCTTCAAATAGCATTCATTTATTAAGTTAAATGAATGTTTATTTGGAATCTTAAGACTTTAAAGGTATATAGTTGGCCAATACGGATATGTCAGGTCTAAGTTTATTTGATTGTGATTTAAGTCACTCAATATTTGAAAATGTTGATATTAATTCATGCAATTTTAATTTTGCTGATTTATCAAATATTAAGTGGACAAATGTTATTTGTAAAGAAAAACCATTTTTATAAGGACATCAAAATGGAGTTTTAGAAGTACAATTTTCACCTGATGGAAAATTTATTGTATCAATAGAAGAACAAGATAATAAAATTAAATTATGGGATGCTGATAAATATTAATTCATCCAAGATTTAGTAGGTCATCAAGATAAGGTTAATACCATATCATTTTCATCAGATTCTCCAATGCTTTATTCAGGGAGTGATGATGGCACTATCTTAAAATGGGATTTTAAGAATCCTTAATAAATTACTTGGGTTATTGTAGAAACTATTGATAATAAGGTTTTAAAAGTAAAAATATCATAGGATTCAAAAAAATTGTATTTATAAGATAATTAATTAAATTTTTTTATTTTAGATTTAACAAAAAATGGTAAAAGGGAAGAATATATTCCATTATTAAAAAAATGCGTTGATAAGGATGAAAAATCTAATAAGGCTGAAAAATTTATTGAAGTAACTGAAATGTCACAAATTTCAGAATTTGCCTTACATCCAAAAAAACCAAAAATTGCATTGGCTAATGAAGTATATGGATATGTTGATCAAAATACAATAGAATTTATAGACTATTTAACACTATAATCAGAATATCTTAAATATAAGATAGAATCTGGTTGTGGAAGAACAATTTTAGATTCAGGTTTAGTATTTAGTGATGATGGTTAATATTTTGCAATTGTTTTAAAAAATGAAGTGATTGTTTGGAATTACAAATAAAATACATACTAAATGTTTATATAATTTTAGTTCCATGAGAAAATCGAATTAAAATTTATTTTGTTTTCTTAAGATAATGAATTAATAATTTGTTCATAGAAATTTATGTTTAAATGGTAAAATTATTAGCTTTAATGGAAGTAGAAATGCATTGAAATTTAGATCTCTCCTTTAGGTAACATAGCTGCGGTTGTTTATGAAAAAAAACTAAGTATTATAGATATAAATACCTAAAAACCAATAAGTTCAATATCATTTGATTTTTAACCTAATAAGATACTATTTTCTAAGGATGGTACTAAATTGTCTTTATTTCTAAATAATGAGAAGGAAGTTAGATAATTTGCAATTTTGGAAGTTTCCACACTTAAAACTATTTGTTTTATACCTTTTTGGAATAAGTATTGGATTAATTACATATTATCTAATAATTTTGAAAAGCTATATATTTAATATAATGACACAGAAAAATTTCAAGAATATGATTATTATTTATAATCATACTACTCAACCAAGAGGGTTATATAAATAGATACAAATAAAATACATAAAGAGATAGAAAATAAGGAATTCAGTATAAGCAGCAAAAGATTTTGTGCTTAATATTAAAGTGGGGTTATAGCTTACATTAAATTAAATACTAATGCCATAAAAATATATGATTTAGATAAAAATTAAGAAATTGAAGATGATATTTAATATGAAGAAAATGAAGTCTTGGACCTTTTATTTTCACCTACCCAAAAAGAATTAGCAGTTTTATATTAGAATGGGTTACTCTTTTGGAATATAGAATCCAAGCCTTTCTAGATTAAAAATAAAATTATTTAGTTGGATTCTAATTTAAAATCTATTAATTATTCTCCAGATGGTTCTAGAATTGTATTAGTGTTTCAAAATTCATTTAATATCTATGAAGTCAAAAGCTGTAAACTATTAAAAACAGTTGAACATAATGATGCAAATACAAAAGTATCAATTTCTTTAGATAATGATTTAATTGGGTATATTTAAGATACATAAATAATTATTTTGAGTCAAAAAAATAATTATGAATAAACAGTTTTATAAGGCCATAATGTAGCAATCTATAATTTAATATTTACTCGTGATTAATAATCTATAATTTCAGCAGGCTCTGGTGAACTTATATTATGGGATTTATCTAAATTTCAGATTAAAGATTAAAAAAACACTTATATATAGGAATATTAAATAACATTTTCATATAATACTAAATTATTAGTTTTATTTAAATAAAATTTGATGTAATTATGGAAGTATTCTTAGAATTAATTAACATTTATTGGATCTTAAGTATTTGATTTTGGAATTAATGAATTAAGCTTTATTCATGATGATTAGAATATTTTGATTAAAAAATCAGATACTGAGTTATTGTTATGTAATTTAGATAATTTTTAATATTTACAAACATTTTAATTGAGTTTTGAATATGGAGCTATATCTTCTAATAATTTAATTGCATTAGCTGGAGATGATAATAATATTAGAATATATTTAAATAACTTAGAAAAAAATAAATACAATTTATAAGCTTCCTCAATAAGATACTTAGCATTTTTTGAGAATAAATAGAATTTATTATTAATTTAAGAATACAACACAATAAGAATCCTGGATTATATAAATGGACAATAAAAAGCTAAATTTTAATTATTTGACTATTAAACTCCAATATAATTATAATTAAAAGGTGAAATATTAATTTCGTAATATGAATACAATGTTTCTTTATGGAACTTAAGTGATTTAAATAATATTAAGATATGTGGATTTCACAACGAAATTAATTGTTTTTCTATCTAAGACAATTAAGAATTAGGATTAGGAATAATAAATGAATAATATATTATGATCAAAAATATCCTTAATGTTGAATTTGCACTACCAGTCAATTTAAATTAATTTATAATATAAGTACTAATGTCTATGAAAAAATAATACTATATTATTTTATCAACATTATAATAACTCATCATTTTAGAGATTAATACAAAATAAATACATTAATTTGATAAAAGTGTATTTGCAGTTGCATATTGTGAAGAAAGAGACTACATTGCAGTTTAAACATAATCAGAACTCTAATTAATTTAATTTTAATAAAATAGTTTTAACATCATCAGTTCAATTGATTTATAGAAGGAGGGATATTAATAAAGGAATATAAAATTTACGAATGATGGACAAGGATTATCATTAAGTTCCTCTCATATGATTAAATGGTTTTCAATTACAAAAAATTAAAAAATAATATGCAGAGGTATGTTTGATAAAAAAGGATTTATAGATTAAGGATAAATATAAGCATAAATATTTTGTGACAGAAGTTCTTCTAATAAATAATAATTACTTGCTGTTTTAGATTAAAAAGAAAAAAAATTTAGAATTATTAACATCTAAAAATAAAAACAATTTGTATAGATTAATTTTATAAAACATGATCGTAGATTACCTTCATTAAGCTTTGATTTAAGTTTTAACGAAGATAAAATATTCTTTCTGTTTGGTGAAGAAGTATTTTCATTGGATATAAATAATTTTGATACAAAGAAATTAAATGATTAAAGTTCCCTTAAAAATAGCTAATTGATAGTTATCGGAAAGGATTCATTTGTGTTTGTAAAGGAAAAATACGAAGAAGGCAATGAAATCATTGAATATTAAGAATCAACATCTTGTAGTACGTAAATCACAAAAATAAAAGATATAACATACATGAATTATTTACCTTAATAATAATTATTAGCAATAAGTACAAAAAGTAATAATATTATCTTTTGGGATATCAAAGCTAAAAAGAATATTGGAACTCTAAAAGGACATTAAGATACAATCAATCACATAACAGTTTCACCTTTTGATGGTGTACTTGCTTCAGTAAGTAAGGATAGACTAATAAAACTGTGGACTATTAATTAAAATGAATCTTCAGAAGTTCAATAAGGTCATTCATATTCTATTAGTTCAATTGCATATTCTTAAGATGGCCAATTAATTGCTTCTGGAGCTATAAAAAAAGAAGAATAGGAAGTACCAATATTTCTTTGGGATGTTATTGATAAAAAATTGATGATTCAACTAAAAAAACATAAATGTTCTATTACAAGTTTAGAATTCTCTTATTGTTCTAGATATTTAGTATCTGGAGATGATAATGGAATAATAGTATTTTGGAATATTGAATATCCTTAATTTGCAAAGGTTGCATATGTTATAGATGAATTTAACAGTTCTATAAAGTCTATAAGAATTTCTAAAACAGAATAAACCTTATTCGCAGTTTATAATTTAAATTTAATTATAAAATGGAATTATGAGTAAATTGAAAAATAAATAGATGAAAAACATGTAATTTTAGATACAAAATCTAAATAATACAGTTTTATTAAAAATGATTAATTTGTTTATTTTGATACAGACTAAAATAAATTAATAATTCATAATATAGAAACAAAAGAATAAAAGCTTTTTTAATTGAAATCATAAATTAAATAATTATAAACTTCAAAGGATGGTAATCTAATTTTGTGTTTGAAATAAATAAAGTAAATAGAAACTTACAAATTATACTGTCTTTAAAAATAAAATGATAATAACTGGTAAAAAAAATAGATTTTTGGACCATAGTCAGATTATTTACTACTTTCTCCAGATAATAAATTTTTGTTTTTGGGAATTAATTTCAAAGTATCATATAATGAATAAAGGATTCTATATACAATCTATGATTTTTAAAGATTAAGTTAAGTAAATAAAAAATTAGTTTTAGAACTTGAAAAAAATACACCTACAAGGATTTTTATGTCATATGATTTTAATTTAATTGCAGTAGTTATAAATAATCAAAGCATAAAAATCTATGATAATTTAAAGTAATAATATATCAAAGAATTCAAAGAATGTAAAAAACCTGGATTTGTTTAAATATCTAAAGATAATAAATATTTAGCTTATTTAGAGATTAATGAATAAGATTATCCTGGCAATATTATCTTTATATTAAATATTGAGGATCCATCAATTAAGAGAGATCTAAAATTTGATTAAAGTGAATTAATAATTTACAAGTTCTCTGCAATAGATTCAAATCAGATATATGCTTTATATAAAGATCAAACAGTAAGACATTGGGATTTAACGGATAAATAACCTTCCATAAAAGCTGAGGTTACTTTATCAAAAAGTTTTGATTTTAAAAGTTCCTTCAAATTTTCCCCTAACCTTAATTTCTTATTCAATAGGAACTAAACGAATTTGGTGATATGGGATTTTAGGAAAAAAGAAGAATTCATTATTAATGTTGAACAAGAATTTGACGATATTTTTTTTTCTTAAAATGAAGATATTTATGCTGTTATTAGTAAAGAAAATAATATGGATTGCATTATAATATTTAAAGACAAAATATCATCTAAAATATTTTGGAATGAAGTATCTTATGAGAATATGAAGTACATTGAATTCTCACATAATAATTCTTAAATGGTAATTTGTTTTAATTATTCTTTCTATCTCTACTAAATAGATGACGAATTGAAATCTAAAATTCTAGGATTTTGGAGATCATCGAATTATATAGAAAGATGCTTTTTAAATCCTATGAATATGAGTTTAGTAATTCATTAAAGTCATCAGAATAAAATTGTTGTAATTAATTTAGAGCCAATAATAATTTATAAATAGTATGTCATTGAGTATAAGTAAAATTGCTAACATCAAATCTGTTGTTTTTCTCCTGATAGTTAATATTTAGCTATTTTGTCCCCTACTTTATAAATATAGGATTTATAAGATCTTTAAATCTTTGAAGAATTTAAGGAATATTAAGGATATTGTATATCTTTTTAATCAATAGATATTTTAGTAATTGCAAATCATTTTTAATGTTAATATTATTTATAATTTTTCAAAATAAAAAAGTATCAAAATAAAATAGAGGTAATAAAAATTTGGAATTTTCAATTCTAATCTGAAATAATTTAAATAACTCATTTATTTATATTATTTAATGTTCGAGAAAAAATAAATTATTCCTACAAAAACAGAATAGCATTAGTTGAAATTAATAATTTTAAATTAGATGAATCATAACTTGAAAATAAATATCTGAGCTAAAAAATATTTAAAGCAATTTATCATAATGAAGGAAATTTAAATTTCTAAGAAAGTGGAAATTACTTTGCTATAAGCAATCTAAATTAGATAAAAATATTCAACACTTAAACCCTTTAATAGGAAAGATGCTTTTTTTTAGAAGAAAATATTGAAAGATCTCAAATATTCTATATGTCTGATGAGAACTTGATAATGTTTTTTTTTAACTTTTGTGTCTAAATATTAGATTCTACAAGTTTCGAAATGATTAGATAGAAAGAATAAATTAGTAGTTATCCCGAACAAGTTGAATATTCTAAGATTTCAAAATATTTAGTTTTCAAATAAACTAATACCATAGAGATCTATACTTTTGAAAATAATGAAAAAGATTTCTTAACATTTGATACTTTTTAAATAAATGATGATATTATATTCGATAATATTGCATTATCACAAAAAGGTGATTTACTTTTAACAGGTGAGCATAATTCTAAAGATTTCACAAATTCAATTACATTATGGAATATAGGATAGCGTAAATAAATATGCGCTAATAATAAAATAAACAATAGAGTAACAATTCTTAAGTTTTGTCCAGATGGAGTTACTTTTGCCGCTGGTCTTGAAGATGGATCTATTAATTTATATTCAATAGAAATATCAAAAACAAATTTCTTTAAATAATAATAGAAATTGAATCAGAATTTTTAGAAATTTTAAATTATTTGCATTAAATCATTCTCTAAATAATCACTATTAACTGCTTAATAATCCATATTAACTGCTGATTCAAATATAATATCTGAAAATAAGTCTATTGTTGAATTGTTTTATTAAAAAGGAGGATTAAAACCAAAAACCGATAAAATAGAAGTATCAAAAATTTGAATATTAATAATAAATAAATTATTCTATAAATTTATTCTATTTAATTAAATGATATTATAGTATGACTATTAGATATATTTCAATAAATTATTTATATAAGATTACCTATAAAATCTTATATATAAATATACATCATAATACTACAGTTAATATTCCATCTGATAATTCAAATAAGAATTTATCAATTTCAGTCTAAAAACTTTCAATACAACTTTTATCAGATTTAATCTAGATATCATAATAAATATTACTTCCAATAAAACTTCAGTTGAATTAGATTAAGTTGAAATGTTTTTAAATAAGATAATAATCCAATGTTTATTGTTTTAGATACATTTTATGAAATCAAATCAAGATTTAAGTTTTATTAAATTGAATATTAAACTATAGAAAATGGTTATTATAATAATTTTTTATAAAGTTATAAATAATTTCCCTCTAAGTAACACCTAATATTTAATGAACTATCATATATTATATATTAAAAAACAATTATATGATAAATATAAAAATGTGTTGAGTATAAGAAATTTCAAGCATACTAATTCTGTAATTCTATGTTCTGATAGTAAAAGATTATTAAGATTTATATTTATTGTCTTAAAGAATGATATCAAATGCAAAATGCATAGATAGCTTTGGATTTACTTTAACAACATAGAACAATTATATTTCTTAATATGGTAACTCTTCAATTAATTTATAATTATTATGAATATAAGAATTTCTATCGAATAAAATTTAAATTCCGAAATTATCTAATCTAAATGAACAATTATTGATAACTCTAATTTCTAAACATATACAAGATTTTTATAAATCTAATGTATGAGAACAATAGATTTAAACAAAATCACTACTTCCAGTAATTAATTTTGAATTCAATTATAATTTAGTAAATATGTTATTTTAAGGTATTTGTAATGATCTTAAATTCATAATCAAAGCATTTTATTGAGATGAAAATTGTTTTTATTAAATATATTATAAGCAATTTAATATGTTGTTAAATATTATAAATTTTGATTGATTGAATCAATTTAATTATTAATTTTTATTTACAATTAATCTTATTATAGAGATTCTTTGTACTAAAGTGATTTAACAAAATTTCTATTATATTCTATTAATTATTCAGCTATTTTATCATTTTCCTTTATTGTAAATTGTCATTATAATCTGAAAGCAATCCCAAGATCTATTATTTGATATGATTCTCAAGAGTATGGAAATTAATAGATAGAAAATAGAGAATCTTATAGATTAAGTTAACAGATTTAAGATTATGTAGGTTAAATCATAAGAGTTCTAAATTCAGCAAAAATATTGATATAATCTAATTTACAATTTAAGTTACTCTCCTTGAATTTGCTTGTTTTTACAAATTAGTTCTTCAGGTTTATCTTTTATTTTAGTAAGAAACCAAGTTTAATTGTACAATCCTAAGAGTGCACTATTCTTTTTATAATAAAGTATTTCAATTGATTTTTAGATTAAATTATTGAAACAATAAAGCAAGAACAATAATCGAGTTAATATGATTGGAAATAAGAAAAGATATTTCTAGAATTCTTGTTGATATTGCTATACATTTATTAAAATCCATATCTAATAAAAGAATTTATAATTGACTTTCTTAATATAAATATTAGTTATTGTTTATTTTGGCATATCTATTTAATCTACTTCTGTTTCTTTTGTTAATAATAATTAAAAAATAGAATTCATTGCACACAATTTTTCATAATGAAAATCAGAGGATATATTAAATGTTTAAATTATACTATTCAATTACTTAATAGAATGCTGTATCATATGATTTTACAATTAGCATAAGTATGTATGGGATTTTTTTAAATATCTATTATTTTTGCAAAATCTTTTGGATTAGGTGAAGATTCTGAGAGATAAATGTATAGACTTTTCAAATAATTTAATTGCTTCAACATTATCCATTATTAATTTATATATAAAAAAATAGTGATAGTATCAAAATACAATACAGCCACATCCACCTTATTTTGCAGACGATTATTTTGTATTTTAACCTTACTATTGTTTGTCATTTTATTGTTAATTTTGAACTAGAGGACTTAAACGAGTGACAGCTTCTTTTGCTTCAATATTACCAGCTTATGCAGCCTATTTATACCAGTATAATGCCTGTTATAAGTTTAATTTAGTTCCTGTTCCCTCTTCATAAAGCACAGCTAGATTATATTAAGCATTTTCAAAGCCACCTTTGGCTGCCTATAAATACCAATCAAAAGCTTCAGTTGGATTCGTTTACAATAATACTGTAGCCAAGTTGGTCATAGCACATAAATCCCCTTTATCAGCTGCCATTCTATAGTATTTTTTAGCTTCTTCAATTTGAATATGAGTTCCATTACCAGATCTATATATATTTCCTAGGTTATTCATAGCTGATACTGATCCCTTGGAAATTATAAATATAGCATAAATACTAGTTTAGCAGCTTTTTCAAACCATGCTCTACTCTTTTCAAAATCTTATTCTACTCCTTATCCAAATAAATGCATCAAACCTAGTTAGAACATTCCTTATTCATTCTATAATTCAGCTGCTTTGTTAAAATATTTATAAGCAATTTTATAATCAGGAGCAACAACTCTACCTAAATAATAAATGGATGCTAGATTATATGCTGCTTAAGGATGTTTATTAGCAGCTAATTGATACCTAAAAAGATTATAAATAAAAATACCATTGGATACATTCTTAGATATTTTATTAATCACCTTTTCCATCTTCATACATTAAACCTACTTTGAATTATGCATCGATATCTCCATCTTAAGCTAGTTTAAGATAATGCTGTATTTCATCATAATCTGTTGTCTATTGCATTAGATTATAAAAATTAAAATAAGAAATGTACTAAAATCATATTTCAATTTTTTATTGAAAAAGCTTTTCAAAAACAATGGCAGGACCTTATGAATCAAAGAATTAATTTAATTTCAATTTATTTCTAAAAAATAAAGTAAAACTACTATTACCTATTATACTCTCTAACATCTAAGACACCACGCATTCCCATTAAATAACTCTATAAACCCAAAAGTTCTTTGTCTTCTTTATTATCATAAAAAGGAACAATAGGTATTCCATTATCTAATTACCAAGCATAGCTATAAGATGCATTATCAACTAAAACCATTTGACTTAGCGGTCTGTCAAATATTCTTAAATCTTTAGTATACATTCCACCTGTAGTCAAGATACAACTATCTCTAAAATATCTATGTGATATAAGTTTATTTTCAGGATCTAAATAATCTAAAACTTATTTAGCATAACATTGATGTGAGGCAGTGAAAACAATGATTTCAAATTCATCAACTAAAGATTCTAATAATTCTATAGCTCCTGGACGTATATTTACACCTGCTTTGACAATTTCATGAGAATTAACTTTAATATTTAAAATGATATCAGATTTCTATTATATTGATTCATTACAATGTACTAATGTTTCATCTAAATCAAAAATCACAGTTATTTTATCTTAAATATAAAATTGATTTACCTTTGTATTTATCTTTTTATTTCATTTTGACTGCTTTCTTTTTGAAATCATTAGGATCTTTTGGTCTCAAATGAGATGCAACATATATTCCTTAATATGTTTAAAAGAAATGTTCTCTATAGAGAGAACTAAAATAATCATCTTAAAGTGGCCGAGTGAAAACTTACTTAATTTTTCCTAAATAATACTGAAATTAGACATTTTCTTTATTAAATTTAATGCTTTCAAAATATTTTAATTCGCGATTTGATATTGATTAAGATTACTATAATGATAATTATCTTGAATGAACTGGAGTTATCTATTGGGAATATGCCTTTTAAGGTTTCTGCAACATTCCATTATATATCTTTTTATAGTTTTGATCTTTGGATCCAATTGATTGTTATCTCTTATGTTGGAATGAAGTTGTAGAATTAATTTCAGATGTTAAAGGTCTAAAATCAATAGATGATTGCTTAGATTATTTGAATATGTTCAATTCAACATTTGGAGTTACTTTGGTGACAAGCTGATTAAGTAATAAAGATTATTATTAACTATTTGAATAATTACGAATAGGCATATCGTATTTTGATAATAGTATCTGATTTTAATATTATTATGTGATTGGTATTTCTTGATTAATGAATTACTTCTTTTTTTAAAGACTCTCTTGACTAAACTTTTTTTTGAGGAATTCTCTTCCAAATATATTAACATTAGAATTAGACTTAGAATTAGTACTACGAACTGAATTGATGATGTCTAGTTTCTGGGTTTTAAGATTTTGTGTAGTCCTCTAGAATAAATCAATTGAATTATTAGTTTCAATTAAGGGCTTAGGTTTCATAATTTAATTTATTATGTCATATAGCTACCTCTTTAAATTTATATTGATTGGTGATACAGGTATATAGATTATAAATACCATTTAAAGGTGTTGGCAAATCTTGTCTTCTTTTGTAATTCATAGATAAGAGATTCAGATAAAAGCATGAAGTCACTATTGGTGTAGAATTTGGTGCAAGAATGATAGAGTTTGATGGTTAGAATATCAAATTACAAATTTGGGATACGGTATTCTCAATATTTTAAAATGTTATAGGCAGGATAAGAATCTTTTAGATCTATTACACGTTCTTATTATCGATCAGCAGCTGGTGCAATCATAGTTTATGACATCACAAAAAGGGAAACCTTCGAAAATATTTCTAGATGGTTAGAAGAAGCTAAATAAAATGGAAATCCAAAATTAACATTTACACTTGTTGGAAATAAGAGTGATTTGGAAGCAGAGTATATTATAATTATTCCTAATATTTAGTCGATAAGTTTCTTTTGAAGAAGGACAAGAATTTGCAAAAAATAATGGTATTGATTTTGTAGAAGTGAGTGCAAAGACAGCTAATAATGTAGAAGAAGTATTCCTTAAGACAGCATAACAAATTTTAGAAAAAATTAATAACAATTAAATTGACCCTAAAAATGAAAGTCATGGAATTAAAATAGGAACTGAATAAGGAATTAAAAAATCATTTATTAATAATACTCAATAATTGTAATCACAACCAGAAGTTGAAGATAAATAAGGAACATGTTGTTGAATCAGATATTGAATTAAATATCTAATAAAATTATAATAGATTTTTATATTAAATAATATATAAAATATATATATTATCATTATTTATATCTTTCTTTAATATATTCTTTTAGAATCCACAAATCAGAATTTACAACTTTATTTTTATTTAAATTATCATCTTAGAATTATAACATTTAAACATTTTTATCATTATTCTATTTATAATTCTTAAATTCATCTAAAAGACTAACTGAATAATCATCATAACGAACTTCTAATTAATTACTAATTTAATATTCAAATATGTTCAAATTTAGAAATTCATAAATATTGATATCATTCTATAATGCTACTTCATAAATGTTAATTAAAAATAATAGTAATTCTTATCTATAATTAAAATATTTGTAATTTTCTGGAAGTTTTATTTAAACATTTTAATTTGAATAATAGATTTTTAAACTAAAACTATTAAATGCTCCATTTAAAATATTCTTAAATCTTACACAAAATTAAGTTAGATCTTTATATTTATTTTCAATTGATGAAATAATTTAAACAATCTAATTTAATTATTATTTGTATTAATTGATAGAATATTAGAAATTTCCTATAAATTCTTAATGTTATGGAACATTAACTTTTAAAAAAGATTTTTCAAGATCAATCTTTTCTAAATAACACCATGGATGTCTAAATAAATCTTCAAAACTAATTCTAAGTTTTGGATCTTCAACTAACATTTTTCTTAAAACATCTTTGCATTCTGCAGAAACTGATATGTGTTATGGAAATTAAAGCTTAAATTTATTAAATATTTTTTAATACTTTACTAGTTTAAATTGCTATAAGTAAGTCTTATACTGTTCCTTTTTATGGTACAAATGGAGGTTAACCAAATAGAATTTGATATATCATTACTCCTAATGACCATATATCACATTTGTGATCATAAGAATTAGATTTTCTATTAATATTTAATAGAATTTAAATACTTTAATATTTCTGGAGCCATTGTGATAGGTGTGCCACAATAAGATTCCAATAAATCTGTATTTATTAATGATTTAGCAAATCCAAAATCACCCAGTTTAATTTACATTTATTCATTTATTAGTATATTTGCTAATTTGAGATCACGATGAACGATATTTTTTAAACGTAACATTTTCATAGCATCTATTAATTGAAGTATAATTGGTTTTGCTTCAGATTCAGGTAATCTGTTTTTGAGAGAATTCTTTTTAATATACTTTTCTAAGTCTCCTTAAGCACAGTATTCTAATATCATATTGATTGAATCCTAGCTTTGTTAGACTTCTTTTAATTCTACTATATTTTTATGTCTTATTGATTTCATTATTGATATTTCTGTATGGAACAATTCAAGCATTTTTTATTTATGAAGACCTTCCTCCATATCAATATTAATTTATTTGATAGCAACAATTTCTTTAGTTTTTATATGCTATGCTTAATAGACAATAGCAAATGCTCCCTTTAATATAAATATAAATTCAATTACTTTGCCTATAACCTTTAAAATTTGATAATTCTATATTGGATGTTTACTCATATTTATATTTAATTTAATGAAATAAAACATGTCTAAATCAACTATGTAAGACACTAAAATTTCTTATGATGCACCTCCTTTAGATTTCTCAAATCTGAATATTAAATCATTAGCTGATTTAAAGCATGCAATTCCAAAACAAGGGAAACGTAAGTAAGCTCCAATAGATGAATAGAAGGAAGATAAAAAAAAGGAAAAGTAACAACAATAACAATAAGAAAATGAGAATATTCAAGTTCAATAGAATCAATAACAAGAATAAGAGGATGAAGATAAGTTAGAAGGTGATGAAAAAGAAAGAGAAAAACGGGAGTTGCAAAGATAAAAGGAAGAAAAATTGACACCAGTAATTGTTCGTACAATTGGATAACCTGTTTAATAATCAACTAATGTATATAAACCAACAATTGATGAAAAAAAATAAACAAAGAAACAATTTTAAGTATAATTAATACAATGTTCATTGATCTTAAGTTATAATAAATTAACATCCTTGCATAATTTTTATAATATCATAGATTAAATAATGATTAATTGTAAATAATTGTAATGGATTGATTTATCACACAATATGATTGAAAGTTTAGATTATGTAATTATTATTTATATAGATAGAATTTTGCTGAATTACCAAATGTTAAAGCATTATACTTACATGCAAATAAATTAAAAGACATTATGGAATTTGATAAATTATAATGTTTAACAGAATTAAGAACCTTAACTGTTCATGGAAATCCATTTGATGCCATACCAAATTTTAGATTGTATATAATTGGATTGTTGCCTACCTTAAAAAAATTGGATAGTGTTTTAATATCTAAAAAAGAATTAGATAATGCAAATGTATGGAGAAATACATTTAGAATGATTAAACCACCTATAATTAAAATATGAAACTTAATCTCGAAATTTTAAATTACGATAATCCACTATCTAACTTCTTAGTTAAAATTAAATATGGCACCTAAGTTCATTAAACTACAGTAGGAAATAATTGGAATCAGAAGTTTACTCTTGAAGTAAAAAAGACTGTAGATTTAAAAGTGGAAGTATGGTAGAAAGATCAAGAATTTCATTTGATTGGAGAATCAATTGTTCCTAAATTGGAATAGATCCATTAACTTGATATAGTAGGATAAGGTAAAAAAGAAGGGGTTCTAGTAGTGGAATACAAGGAAATAGAACCTTAGAATCCTAAAATCAATCAAAAATTAGAAAAGCCTTAATCATTAATAAAAAGATTGAATGAATCTTTAAATACAGATGTTCAATAAAATTATGGAAATATCTAAGAGTATTTCACATAATAATTTGAGAATCATGAATTAAATCATTAATCTAAATAAACAGCTTCAAATTTATTGATAGAATCATTTGAAAAAACAATAAAAGGATTGTAAATTAATGAAAATTAATATCATTTTGATGATTATGAATAAAAGAATGATATTGAATAAAATAAAATAAAAGCTCTTTAAAAAGAACTTATTAAAAAGGATTTAAAAAAATATGAAAAGAGTAGAAGAGAAGTTAATTTATAAATACTTGATTTAGATGATATGGATATAAGATTTGAATAATAAGAATAAAAATAATAAATTTTGTATTTAAGAAAAGAACTTGTATAAAAGTTATTATATATTGAAGAGAAAATAGAACACTTAAAAAGACATTTAAAATTAGATTAATTAAATAAACATGCATAATAATCAATTATGAATAGTATGGCAGAAATAAGTTAGATTAGTATGTATAGAGAACCAATTGTTAAACCTGAAGTGGACCCATAGAAGGAATAATAGAGATAAGAATTTATTAAGAAATAAATGAAAGAATGGAATGAATTATAAGAATAAAGATTAAAGTAAATAGAAATTTAAAAATAAAAAATATAAAAGACTGAAGAAAAAATAAAAAAGTAATAAACATTAATTCAAGAGGCTAAGACTAAAGAAAAGAGAGAAGAGATAGAATAAAGATTAAATAAGTTAAAAGAGAAATAAAAATAAAGAGAATAAGATTTATAAGAATAAAATAAGAGATATATGGAAAAGAAGAAATAACATAATCTTGCAGAAAAATATGCTTAATAGGATGCTTCATATATGATATAATTGTAAGAAATGAGAAAAAATAAGTTGAAAGAAATGAAAAACCCTGAATTTAATATTTAAGAAATTATGTAATTTGATAAAAAGATTAAAGAACTTAGAAAGGAAAAAGCAGCTGTAAGATAAAAAGAGTGGGATGAACGTGAAAAATAATGGAATAAATTTTAAGCATAATATTATTCATAAAGTTATAAGAGAGCAAGATAATATTACAAAGAATAAGATTTAAAAGTTGATGAATCTAAAATTAAAGCATAAGAACGTCTCAATCTACTTAGATCTTATGATAATGAGGTTAAATAGAGATATTAACCTCATGTATCTTAAGAAAAGAGATCAGAAATTGAAGATAACATTAGAAAACTTAAATATGAACCTAATTTTAAAAAATATAGGGAATTATCTGAAAAGGTTAAAGAGAAACATATATATTTTGGAGTAGAACATAAGGATTAATCAGGCAATAAGAAAGTAAAACTAAAACCATTAGAAAATATACCTACTCCAATTTCACCTAAACGTGTAGGTGATTTCTATTTAAGGGAACATGCTATTTATAATAAGAAACATATTCCTCCTTTACCAAGACCACCAGAACCACCTAAGTCAAGTTAATCAGAATAAAAATTAGTTGTTAAAGATTATTTAAAAGAATAGAGAATCAAGAAGCAATTAATAGAATAATAATCAGTAAATATTGATTTATATATGTTAATAGATGAAAAATATGAATTAAACTTTAGGATTAGAAAATGATGATTAGAAGATGATTATGTAAATTAAAAAGTAATTGGAAAAATTGGAGCATATTTGATATTGTTATTATTATTCTCATAATTATAATTATTTATTTAATCACATATTTATAGAATAATGGTTAAAATGTTAAGAATTTTATTTGAATTTGAATTTAAATGAAATAAGATGAAGGTGATACCAAGATTAACTAAATAAATAAATAATCATATATATATCTTAAATTTTTGTAAATTATTTTTATTTTAATAAATTATTCAGGTTAATACTAATCGATGGACGAAGAGAAAAAATAATATAGCAAAATCAATAAAGAGATTAGACAAGAAATTATTGATAAAATCTGCTTATAAAAAAAACCATTATTAGAGGTAATTCGATAATTTTAAATATTTAAAAAGGTTGCTTAAGAATACTCTTTATTGGCATCTACGTGTAAGTCTATCGTTAACACTTACATGAAAGAAGGCAGAGTTGGTAAAAAAGAATCAAGAATTCGTAAATTAAAAAAAGTAGTAACAACATACCACATTATTTTAAATCCTCTATAACCACTACTCTCTTAAGTTTAAATATAAAAAAATGTTGAAAATTGTGTTGAGCAATCATAAAAAAGTCGAAATGAAACAGAAGAGGTTTAAGAAGAGAATAATAAAGAATTATAATCTTTAGATTAATCAATATAATAATGGACTTAATCTTTATTAACCTAAATCTAATCATTAAACCAATAGTATAAGGATCCATAATATATTCGTTAAAATTGAAATGATTAATATAGATTATATGCATTTATATAATTATTAAAATAATATATATATATAAATATAAACTTCTGTTATTCTTATATGATTAAAATAATTTACATTATCATATATCTCTCCAATGAACTTTCATACATTTAATTGCTTCAAAATAATTACCTTAAGTTTCCATCCAAAATTATTCAATAGTAGTTTAAGAAAATTCATCACATTTCCACATTCCTGTTTAAATCCCATATTCACAGAATGATCTAAACATATCCAAAGGTGCTCCATTTAATTTTATACCATATTTTTAAGGTAAGAGTACATGTTTAGGTTAAAAATCATGTTAAAATAATTTATATATGGATGAAGCAGTTATTTTAGTACCATTCTTTATTTTATGACCATCAAAATGCATAAATAATCTAGGTAATGACATATGATATGGTGGTACATGTCCCTTAAAATAATAAATAAAATATAATTACCCTTAAATCTTTATCAGATTCATAACGAAATGATGGTAATTATGATGGTCTATAAAACCAATTAATACCATCAACAGCTACTAATACTTTATATTTTTCAGTATTATATAATTATTCCATTACTTCATAAACAGCATTAGTTGCATAATGAGCATTTGAAATACCATAATCAATAATTTCCTATAAGTATTAAGGTTTTGGTATTTTCAATGTAATTCTTGCAGACATAATTTAATCTTGGGCTTCTTCAAAATCTCTTTCTTCTTTAGTTATAAATTTCTCAAAATCTTTGAAGTGATATTATCTTCTTTCATCATATAAATTAGGACAAGGATCAGGATCATTATCATGAACACCACTTAAATTGAATTTACCATAAAGACTTAAATCTACTTAAAAGGTTTTTAAATGTTCTTGATTAGCTTCTTTAAATTATTCTAACCATTCTTAAGCTGCTTTTGGTTACATATATAATCCAGTTTTAGGATGTCTTTTAGCTTCATATTTTAATGAAGTCCAACTAAAATACTATTAATTTATTTAATACTTATATCCAGATGGAACAACTGCAACTATCCATCCAGTTTATTATGCATACATAATTGCTTACATTAATACACCAGATTTACCAGCACCATGATCTCCATAGAAAAGTAAATTACTTGAATATCCATAATATTATTCCTATAAATTATTAATTGATTTAATACTCCAAATCTATTTTCAATTAATGTTTTTGGAACTGGAAATGGATTATTTACATATTATGTTAGATCCAAAGTAAAATCTTTAAATTGTAATGATTTTACAGTTGAAAATAATAGTTCAGGCATAGATGCATTAGGTTATTATTTATCTATCTTTTCCAATAATTAATCAACAAGAGATTTAAAGAATTCTTTTCTTTATTCTGGAGTTCTTAATTATTATACTAATTCCCAATGATTCAATATAACAGTCAATAAAGCATCAAAATTAACACTTGTTGCAAATATTCTTTAAAATAATTCATTATTTCTATGTTTCTTAAGTTCATCATTAAAATCTCCTTTTAATACATTAAACATAATAATAAAATATCCTTCTTTTCTGAAATTATCTTTAGATAACTTTTTATAATTGAATATTTATGGTATTCTTTTACTTGAATCAACATAATCAATTGTTTTAAATCCTTCATCTGTCATCATAAGTGAGAAATTTTTGGATAATTCAATTAGGTTTTTTTGGAAATCACCTGGAGATAAAAATTTGAATGTTTTCTTAAATAATTCATAATTTAATGGAATCCATTTTCCAATTTAGATTGGATTTAAATCTAACCAATTTTGTAAAAATAATTTTGCTTTTTCTCTTGGCATATTACTTTTAGTATTGTCTTCTAGATCTTTGATTGATGTTGGATCTGGTTATTAGGCTAATTATTCAACTTACTTTCTAATATAGGCCTAATATGATTTGATTATATTTTACTTATGTAATTGATTCTCTTACTACAGGATCTACTTTTTAAAATACTTTTTCAAGTAAATCCAATTCTACTGATTATTCAAGTGCAGGTAATACTTCATAAGTATATCTTTTAAATAAATCAACTTAATTAACTCTTTTTGGTGCTAATACACCAGATTCTTTTTCAACTTATTCAGGCATTGAAAAAAAAGGTTTTGTTTAATAAAACTTGGTTGTAGTAACTTTAGCCTATTAATAATGTTTCAATTTTAGTTTCTTGAATGCTTCAGATGCAGCTAACTAATATTATTATAAACATAATACATACCTTCATAACTAAAATTTATTTTATTAATATAAGTAATGTACAATAATTAAACAATTAACATATCACTATGCGAAAAGATCTTTGAGAATATAAATTCTACAGTAAACTTTTATGGTATAATTAAAAAAATCATCACAATAGATATTATTTTGAATCACATTTTGGTAAATTAGGTTAGTATTTGGTTTTATCTAATTGGATGCTCAATCTCATTAATTTTGGATACCTTCTTATTTATAGTCTTTTTATATAAAAGTCAATTGAGATAGAGTCCAGGAGACATTTTTTTAGGTAGTTTCGTATTTGAAATCATTATGGCAATATAGTGGTATATAACTGCAGTTTCCTCTTACGAAAAGAAACCTTTGCTAAGTAATTCATTAGAATGTTAATTTACAGCTGCATTAACATTGATATCACGTAATAATATATCACTTATGATTCATCTAGACTTAGGATAATATTTTTATATATTGGCATTTTTCTATTTTCTTACAAGATAAGTGAAAACTAGTTTCAAGGCAAAAAACAATATATAATGGTTAATACACTTAGGAGTTATTATATTAACATTAATAACATGTGTTATAGTGTTTTCTTTGAATCTAACAGGCAAAAATGTAGATGGAAAATGTTCTATCGTTACATCTCTGTTGGCAGAGTACATTTAATAATTTTAGATAGTTATGTCATAACCTTAGGATATACATTGACAATTTTAATATACGTTTCAATAGGAGGATATTCAATTTATTATATTAAGAGAAATATTCCAAATTAATATAAAGAGAGAGCATAAAAGTTTCTGAAATTTAGTATAATTTATTTTTTGACTTATTTAATTTTGATATTTGCAGCATAATTGGTTGAATTATTAGCTAGTTTAAGTTGTACTTATCAATGGCAAATGAACTTAAATGCTATGTATGACACAGCAGCATTTTTTGATGTTATGATATTAATACTTTTACCTATTATTAGAGTAAATGATCCTTATACAAAAAGAATATTACTTAAAATGTTTGGGTATGGATAGAAACAGAAATAAATAATAGAAGAGAATGAACTTGAATTATCTAAACATAATAGTAGTGTTGATTAAGATCTTAGTCTTTTGACTAGTGGTATTTCATAAATTAGATAATCTGAATTAATTATTAATAGAGATAGATAATAAACAGATGATAATCCTTTTGTTAATGTTTTATAAAATAAAAAGAGAGGATAAATTATGTGTAAAATGATAGCAGGACTTTAAATTGATTAATATTCTAAATATAATTCTTTGGATATTGAAATAATTAATCAAAAATCAGATAATATCTATGAAGAAAAAAAGATATATAAATTTATTAATGATTAAATTATAACTACTATGCCATATAATTTATGTTAAGAATTTGTTTCTTTAGTAGAAGATTTTCCATAAATTAAGGTAATTTCTTATACACCTATTATATTTCATACTATAATGAATAGAGAGAAAGAGAAATTGAATATTTATGAATCTCTTGATATTAATAATAATTTTGAGAAGATAACAAATGCAAGTAAAAATGAAGGTGGTAAATCAGGTTAATTTTTCTTTTATTCCTAAGATAATTAATTGATTATTAAGACAGTAACTTAATAAGAATTAAAAATTATACTTACTATGCTTAAAAATTATTTTTTGTATATATTATCTAATCCAAATACATTAATTGCTAAAATTTATGGTCTTTATACATTTGAATAAGAAAATCAAAAAAATATCAACATTATTGTTATGAGAAATATTGCTAAAACTTCTAATACATTTAGAATTTATGATCTTAAAGGTTCTAGTTATGATAGGGAAGTTGCTAAAAAAGATACTAATCTATAAAAGGTTGTATTAAAAGATTTAGATTTTTTGAATATTGAAAAATATTTATATATTTCTTAAGAAGATGCAAGTTTTATTGCAGAAAATGCTATTAAAGATTCGAATTTTTTTAAGTCTTAAGGATTAATTGATTATTCCTTAATTGTTTTTAAGATTCTAAATGAATAAAATCAAAATCTAATTCCAAAAAAATAAGCTAATATATTTATGTGTGATGATATTAGATATAGATATCATATTGGAATTATCGATTATTTGTAAGAGTATAATGTTTAAAAATAATTTGAAAAATATACCAAAAAAATTATTAAACTTAATTAAAATTTAGATACTAGTTCATAAGATCCTAAAATATATGCTAATAGATTCTAATAATTTATTAGAAGAATTACCAAAATTGAATGATATATTATTTTATACTTTCATTATTATAAATTTTATTGTTAAATTATGAGTACTAATTGTTTAGACTTAATGGACATACTCAATCTAAACTAAACTGAATCAAATAATTATTTATTAGAAAACTACTTACAATATCAAAAGACTCCATCTAATAATATATCTATTATTACCACAAATAAAACTATTTCTACCAGATAATAATCATAAATCAGTTCAAGAAGATAAACTTAAGAAAATGGTTATCGTAGTATTGCCTACTCATAATAAATCTAAAGAAATGAATAAACTCAATAAAAGTAAAGATCTATATCATTTACACCAAATATGGATTAAATGTAATAGTCTTTCTAAAAAATGGAATTAAAGATGAATAAATTCTAAATATAATAACCAGATAGAATTGATTAAAAATATATGATTACTGGTTTTCTTTAAATGAGTTAAGATTATTAAAATATTATTTAAGTCATCAAGAAATATAGTTAGGATTTAAATAATGTTTTAAAATGTTACAATAATAATTATTATTAATAAGCTTATTAAGTAGATTAATATTTTTAGAGAAATTCATAGTTTTTGACTAATAATATTTAAAAATATTATAAAATTAAAGAAAGTTTTTATAGATTTTTAAGAATGGGAATATAGGTAATAATAAATTCATAATTAAGGAACCATATAATTAAAGAGTCTAAAAGAAAATTGATTTATTAGAAAAGTAAAATCATATATTTGAATATTTTTAAATGTATGTAGAATTATTTAAATTCGTTAATTAAAAGGCTTTTGATTGCTTTAAAAAAGACTTAATTAGTATTCATAATTTATAAGAATCATCTCCTTAATTTAATTTTGGTGAATCATTTTCTAAATAAGTTTAAGAATTTAAACATAAAATATTAATTATTTCATCAACACAAGAAACATTAATTTTAAATAGAATATTTTAGAATAAAATAGATGAAATTTAATTATGGATTTAAATGATCTAAAAGATGGCAAACTTTAAATATGTTTATTATATAAAATATTTATTAGTTTCAAAATCATTATTAAAAAAAATAATTAAAAGTAAAAAACTATATAATCAAATCATTTAATTATTGGAAGAAGCTCAATAATATTAAGCTACCATCTCAACTTTAAATATACTATATAAAAATTAAATATAACAATTTGTTAATGAGTTTAATCAAATTAAAAATTAAATTATCTAATGGAATGTTTATTTAAGAGAAAATTAATTATGTTAATAGGTACTTATATTAATAAAAATGAACATTAAACTTAAAAGAGTTAATAAAAATCTTCAAATCTTAATTTTGGTAATATATCCTTTTTTTAATTTAAGTAAAGAGAATCTAATAATCTTGATTAGAAACTGTTATCTTAAGAAATAGAAATAGTACATAAATTGAAAATCTAATTATAAATTAATAGTCATATTATCAATTAAATTAAATAAAATACAGAAATCAAATATGATGAGTACATTTAATATTAGTACAATAAATTTATTATATTGAAAGACTATTTTTAGAATTTATTATATGAATTTGATATCTAATGAATATATATTATAAAAAAAAATATTATTTATCCCTTTTATCAAAAAAATCATATTACATTTTAATTTTTTTTATTAATAAATTATTTAAATTAATTTTAAAACCCATAATATATTAAAATTAATAATAATATATAAAGAAATAAAAAAGACTATTAAATTTCATACCTTCTCGGCCTTTTGGCTAAGATCAAGTGTAGTATCTGTTCTTATCAGAGTGATATCTGATATCTCCTACGAGGAGAATGATATCACTGCAATTTTTAAATGGGGCTGGGTTTACTTGGGGCTTGCTCCGGTCCCAGCATAGTCGACCCTGACTTACACGACCTCGGGGAACGGCTAACCCGCTACTTTTTAAATTAAACAAACGAAATTTATTATTATTATACAAAAGGGTGACCATTTAAGTGTAAAGAATTAAATAGAAAATTAATTGACTTTCTTTCTGGTGTGAATGTTAAATAGAAATTAATTTTATAAGGAATTGAATAGGTTAAAGTATGATTTTGCAATTAAATAATAAATATTTATAATGTTTCGAATGTTTGATCCTATGTATTAGTCAATGAACTAGATCCTAGAGGAAAATGGTAATATCTTATGGTTGGGAGATTGCACTGCTGCATATGATAGAAGTTTGTTAGATGCAAGAGGAATTAAGACAGTTTTAACAGTAGCTGCAGGATTAAATGTTTCTTATCCTGAAGGTGGAATAGTACACAAAGTATATTAGATATATATAAATACAAGGTTTATCATATATTGGATATTGAATCAGCTAATATTGCTAGACTTTTTGGGGATACTTGTAATCAAATTGGAGAAGGTTTAAAACGAGGAGGTGTATTAGTCCATTGTGCAGCAGGAGTGTCAAGATCAGCTTCAGCAGTGATAGCATATATAATGAAGACTAAAGGGTTGAGTTTTTAAGAAACATTCAATTATGTAAGAAAGCGAAGAAGTGTAGTATTTCCAAATTATGGATTTCAAAGATAATTAAGAAACTATGAGAAAGATCTCAAAACAATAAAAGTGAAAGAACCTTAAGGAATAGAGATGCCAATAAAATAGACATAAAAAAAGCCTTAAGAAATTGCAATGGATAAGCATGAGTAATTCAGTATTTAGTATTTGGAATAGAAAGCAAAGCTCCTCTTAAAACCTGTGTCAGGTAATCCAACATTTAATAGTGGTTATTCAACACCATAAAAATAGTTCTAAAAGTAGAGAATGTTGTATCAATCAGCAAAGGTTGGAAGTCAAGAGCCAAAGTAAAGTCCAATAACATAGAATTCTACTAGAGCTAATTCTTAAATGAAAAGAAATATCTTTGAGCCTTCATTCAATTAAACATATTAAGGTCCTCAGATAGTGACTTACTAAAAAAATAAACTTATAGAGAAGATGCCAGATATTAAGAAAAAGACATTTTATAAATGAAGATAATATATATATATTTAATTAATTTATCCTCCAAAATATTATTGAATGAATATCGCTAGTAATTTTATTATAAATAAAAAATCATATGTTTTAATTAAATAAATACAAACAATTTCCACCACAAACTCATTCATTTTATTTCTATCTCATTTCAGCAAGTACATTGAATACTTTAACCAAACCTTTAGCTGCAATAACTTTCAACTCTCTTTCTTAATCTCTATTGGTTGATACTCTTGGATCAATATGTCCTTTTTCAACAACAGCCCTAGTATGTTTAATTTTTCTAACTTTTTAATGCTTTTCTTTATTCCAATTTCTTTTTGTTTTTATTTTTCACTTGTGAGTTCATTTAATATTTTCTATTTATCTGCCATAATAGCCTTGTCACTTTTAACATCTCTCTTAATAACACCAGATAACAATTATTTTAATGATTGTTTTGTTTATTATTGTACTTCTTCTTGTTAACTTTCATGTTCCTCTTAATGTTCATCTTCATCCTCTGCATTAAATTTCTTAATCAGATTCTTAACTTTCTTAGATTTTATTTGTCTATTAAGCATTTTTATATACAATAATAATTTATAAATATAATTACATATTAATATTTACATCACAATTCATTTTTATCATAATCAACATATTATAAATACTTATATATAAATATTCTTTATTTCTTTCATAAATTTTTTGAAATTGATATTGCCTTATTTCTATCTTGACTAGATTTTAATCCTTAAGATTTATATAAACAATAACTTTTACAACAATTCTTTATCATTTTCATAAACATATTATTATTTAACCTTCTTTTCTAATAGATTTGATAATCTTCATGGTTTTTCTTTATTTTTTAGATATTTATTATTAATGTAATTACTATTATTGTATTTTTCTATCTTCTAATTCTTATCTTTATTATCTCTTATAGTAACTGCAAATAAATGAAATAAATGCTGTTTAGCTTTTTGATTTACCTATGAATTAATAAAATCCTCTATCAAATTATTCAAGTTATTGAATTGCTTTTCCATATTTTTCTTATCTTGCTGTTCTACCTGATCTAAGTAACTAGGATCTTAAAATTGATCAAATTAAAAAACCAAATGAACATTATCAAAATCAAGTCCTCTAGCTAAATTATCTGTTGTAACACTATTGGTAATTTTGAAATTACTAACTATCTTTTATATCTTTTTTTAAGTCACTAATCCATTCATAATTAAATATTACCATCAGCAAAAAGCTATTTAAATATGAAACTATAATAGACTACAGAAAAACAAGTATTATAAAATATAATACTCTTGTTATTGTAACATTTTCATTCAATTTGATCAATTAATCCAGCAATTTTATAAATTCTATTTTCAAATATATGATAATAGTTTTAATTTTGCTGGCATCTTTTCATTATAACTAATCTTCACTTATATAGATTTTTTAAACAACATTTAATAAGTTCATTTATTATTCTAAAATAAGTCAGATCTTCTCTATTTTAGTAATTTAAATAATATAAATCATTATATTAAATTAGTATTCATTGTCTATCTACTTAATTAAATATCAAATATTCCAAAGTTTTGACATCAATTTACTAATCAGACATATCTAACAATTATCTTAACTTATTAATTTTAGCTATGAGTATATTATATCCTTTTTCATTTAAATAGTTAATATCATTTTTATTATAAGTTCCAACTATAGTATAGACAATCTTAACTTAATTTACAATTTAGAATTTCTTTTCTACATCATAAATTTTATTATTCTAATTGTCTTACAGATGATAATACCAAACCAAATAGTTGATTATCTAATTATTTTTATTTTGAGAATTGATTAAATAATGGAACTAAAAATATTAATTTATTTCCAGATCCTGTTTAGGTTTATACAGATACATCATTATTATTAATGATGTGAGAAATCGATGCAATATAAACAGGGATCAAGTACTAGAATTTAAACTCATTTGCCATAATTTTTTGAATTATTGGCTTTAGGTTGAATTGAGACCATTAATTTTATGTTATCATAATTATTGAGAGAAGTGTATATAATAATATTCACTCATTCTCAACTGTGCTCCAATCAAAATCAACTCCTTTTTCTAAGAATTCATTTAAACGATTAGCTTTATGTGCACGAGTCATCAATTCCATTCCTTAATGATATTATTCCACACCAAATTAATATTTCTCAGTCATGTCATGAAAGGTCTATTCTACATCTCTACAGAAATAGTTTTTTGTTATTTAAAAAGACATCATTGGCAAAACTCCATATTAGAATAAGAACTTAGTTGGTTTGAATGAACTTCTTCTAAATATAGTTCTATCCAATGTCAACATCAGACAACTCATACTTAAAAAAGCACTATATGTACGAGCTTTTTCTATAAATTCAGCTTATTAACAATCTTGCATATCTTCTTGAGAAATCAAACCAAAGCAATTATTGTATTAATAGAAATACTTGAATACTTTTATTTTATCATTTTCATCTAGGTAATTTTTTTTGAATTGTTCAAAGTTTGTAAGTTTTAAATTTTTCATATTAAATTTATGATTATAATCAAATTTTCCAAACTTTTATTCAAAAATCAAATAACTCGTTTTTAATTCGTTTAATGACAAACAATTATTACACAATCTTATATATTGATTACTCATATAGTTGAATAAGTAACAAGTTATATAACTAAATTGTCTCGCAATATAGTATTATATACTTATTTATATAAAACTATAGATGATTTAACATGATTTATGTTACAATATTATTGAGAGAACTTTGAGAGGATTCGATAAAGAATCTATTTTCAATAGAATTTAAGATGGAATCTAAGATATAGAACCAAATATTTTTGATACATATTATATAATATTTATTTATTAAAGATCTTAGATTTATTGAATATTTATATCTTATTTTCTTATTTAGTACTGTATTTTGATGAGGCTATTTCAAGATATACTTGATAAGTTAGTATCTTCTTTAATAAATGAATTTAGAATTTTATAGAGATATAAAGATGTTTAGGATATTAAAGAAAAATAGAAAAATTTTTGTATAATATTTAGAAATCTATTATTTAGTCTAATTATTTGTTAAACAATTACTAGTTAATATAAATACTTACATTTCTATGAAAATGATTTATGATAATAAAATTGATATATAATAAATAAATAAGATATTTTTTAAATTATTAATTGTAATAAATCATACTTCAGGTTTAATTNCTAGAATTTAAACTCATTTGCCATAATTTTTTGAATTATTGGCTTTAGGTTGAATTGAGACCATTAATTTTATGTTATCATAATTATTGAGAGAAGTGTATATAATAATATTCACTCATTCTCAACTGTGCTCCAATCAAAATCAACTCCTTTTTCTAAGAATTCATTTAAACGATTAGCTTTATGTGCACGAGTCATCAATTCCATTCCTTAATGATATTATTCCACACCAAATTAATATTTCTCAGTCATGTCATGAAAGGTCTATTCTACATCTCTACAGAAATAGTTTTTTGTTATTTAAAAAGACATCATTGGCAAAACTCCATATTAGAATAAGAACTTAGTTGGTTTGAATGAACTTCTTCTAAATATAGTTCTATCCAATGTCAACATCAGACAACTCATACTTAAAAAAGCACTATATGTACGAGCTTTTTCTATAAATTCAGCTTATTAACAATCTTGCATATCTTCTTGAGAAATCAAACCAAAGCAATTATTGTATTAATAGAAATACTTGAATACTTTTATTTTATCATTTTCATCTAGGTAATTTTTTTTGAATTGTTCAAAGTTTGTAAGTTTTAAATTTTTCATATTAAATTTATGATTATAATCAAATTTTCCAAACTTTTATTCAAAAATCAAATAACTCGTTTTTAATTCGTTTAATGACAAACAATTATTACACAATCTTATATATTGATTACTCATATAGTTGAATAAGTAACAAGTTATATAACTAAATTGTCTCGCAATATAGTATTATATACTTATTTATATAAAACTATAGATGATTTAACATGATTTATGTTACAATATTATTGAGAGAACTTTGAGAGGATTCGATAAAGAATCTATTTTCAATAGAATTTAAGATGGAATCTAAGATATAGAACCAAATATTTTTGATACATATTATATAATATTTATTTATTAAAGATCTTAGATTTATTGAATATTTATATCTTATTTTCTTATTTAGTACTGTATTTTGATGAGGCTATTTCAAGATATACTTGATAAGTTAGTATCTTCTTTAATAAATGAATTTAGAATTTTATAGAGATATAAAGATGTTTAGGATATTAAAGAAAAATAGAAAAATTTTTGTATAATATTTAGAAATCTATTATTTAGTCTAATTATTTGTTAAACAATTACTAGTTAATATAAATACTTACATTTCTATGAAAATGATTTATGATAATAAAATTGATATATAATAAATAAATAAGATATTTTTTAAATTATTAATTGTAATAAATCATACTTCAGGTTTAATTTCTTCTGCTTTTCTAAATATAATATATAAGAACATTACTTTTTAACAGTTATCACTAAAGCCTTTTCCTCATTAAAAAATCTTGTCTTAACTGGACCTCTTGAAACTCCAGTCTTTATTGATTTAGTATAATTAGATTATATAATTCCAAATTATTTAATTTCTTCATTTGTCAATTCTCTAGGTTATTATGTTGAATCTCTAAGTATAATCATTTATCCATCATTTGTTATGAATAATGGTTATGATCCTAATAAATAATCATCATTCTTTAATGGAATCCACTAAATAATATTTATATATATATATACTTCTTCATTTAATAATTCATATCTATTGAATCTATGAACAGCAACTATTCTACATACTTCAATATTTTCAGCTTAAATTCCAAAAACTTAAGTAAATTAATCTGCTAAATCTGCACCACTTTAATTTCTACTAACAACAAATTCATATCTTTCTGATAGATCCCATTTTTCTTAATCCCAAAATCTAGCATGAATAAATACATCTTTAGAAGTTAAATGTTACCATTCATCTTATAATTATTCTATTGCTATCATTCTCATTTCTACAATTCCTTATTCTTTCAATGGTTTATCTCTATATACTTTATTCAAACGATCAGCTATTCTTTCTCTAAGTCTAATATGTTTAGAATCTAGTTATATTCCACTTTTCTCAGAAGCCCAAATAGCTAAATCATTTATAAATTGACTTATAGGTTTATCTCCTGGAATAGAGTACTCACCTAATTCTTAAAATTAATAAAAATTCCTATCCTCATATAGATTAGGAGCAGATGCTATTGAGATTATACATCTATATTCTCCTAAGTGTAAAGGAGTACCTATATCTAAATGGATAGATGATCCTCTAACAAAATGATTAAGTCCAACTTCAATAGTCATATCTTTTAATTCTAATCCAGCTCTTCCACCTCTTCTTAAAATTAAATTTTTAGGTGAAATTCCTAATTATTAACAGATTCTTTCTTTTAATTCCATCATTGTAGCTCTATTATCTATTGTACATATAAGAGGATATAAATCTTCAGGTTAACCTTCTTATATAGATACTTAAACTGTTTTAGTAGGATCATTAAATTTAATAGTGATTCTATGTTCATCTATTTCAAATTCTTTAAGCCAATTACTATTTTCAGTTTTAGGTTCAAGATAAAAGAAACTATTCTCATAATATCCTTCAATAGGTTTATCTGAACTTAAAATTTCTCCAAATTCACCATTTCTTTTTAATATTTAATATTCTCCTTCTAATTTATATTCTTTCTTTGATTATTCAATTAATTCATGTACAAAATCATTTTTATTAATTGTTACTTTTTTAGGTTATAAAGTTTTCTCATCTAATGCTTCTAAATTTTCTCTATAAAGTGCAACTCTAAAAGTGATAGCTTATTCATTATATGGTTTCCATTCTTCATTTTATTATTTAAATTCAATAGATACACATTTATTTTATAATTTAAGTGCTGCCAATGATCTCATTTCTTTACCTTCAAAAGTATCTTAAAATTAATCAGTATATGGATTATAAATTCTTATTCTACAATTATCTCTATCTTTAATTTAAAAATGATCAAGTACTAATTATCTGAAATTAAGAAAACTTGTATTATTTTCTAGAGTAAATGTTTTAACTTCTAATTTATAATGAGCTTTAATTGTTATTGGTTTTTAAAGTGCAAATAAATCTTCTGTTTAACCACCTTATTTTTTATATTCTTCTAAATTTATTCTTTCTTCTTATAATTTTAATTAAACATATTCAGGTAATTCATTTTCTTAAAATTATCCACCCCAAGTACCCCAAGATTCTTAATTTGGTTCAACCTTCCTATAAAATAACATATAAGCACTTCCACCAGAATGACCTCCAAATGTTTTTACAGGAATATCATCTGGATTAATATAAGTAACTGAACTATCATTAAAACAATACCATTATCCATCTTCATGAGAACGTATATAAGCAAAGTAATGACCACCCATAGCACCACCTGAATGATTAAGAATAGAATATAATTAATAAACATTTGGACCATCTTTTAAATATTATCTAATTTAATTATCTTATTCTAAAATTGATTCCTAACATTTCTACTTAACTAATTCAATATATTTCTTTCTCTCTTCTGTAGTATCTAAAATTGGTTATTATTATAATTTGTCTTTTTCTTCATCCTTATTCTTTTTTTATTAATCATTTTAAGTTTAAGATTCTTATATTTAATTATTAGATTAAACTTTAGGTACATCTTAATATTCTAAATCATGTTCAAAGATTGGTAATGGTGGTGGTGGAGGAATATTAGTTTTATTTTCATTATTATTTGTTTATTATTAAGATTATTTTATATCTTCTTAGATTTATTAATGAATGATTTATTAAATTTATTCATCTTCTTACATAGTACCAAATGTATTAATAACATCACCTTATTATTTTGCTACTTTCTTTTATTGTTTAATGAAATCTTTTAAACCTTAATTGGGTCTAGTCACTTTAGTTGTTTTAGTAGTATGTGATGTTGATGATACTTTATTTGTAGCAGTTGCTTTAAATTATTATTTTTTTGGTTAAACCAATTCTTCAAAATACTATGGATCTGTATCTTCTGATAATTTATTTGGTATATCATCATAAGTTTTATTGTAATTATTCATATTAAGAACAAATGGAAATGCCATTTTATCATCTAACTTTTCTCTTCTCATCATTATATAATCAAATGCAAAACGATTGATATGAACATTTAATATTGATGGTAATTTATAAATTAATTATCCTCTATGAGCATCTTATTTAGCTTAACATGATTCACAAAAATATTAATTATTTCCTTCTAATTTCTCTGGTTTAAGACTTCTTTAAATAGCCAATTCCAAACTATTATTATATACTTTACTCCATTTATCTTTCAATATGACTGTATAATCCATAAAGATTTCTTATCTTTAACTTTCATAATTACATTTCAAACATTTTGTGTAATGAAGATATGCACCTTCATTAATATAATTATTATACCTTCATACAATTCCTTTACAAAATTACAATTCTAATCACTCTATTCTATTGCATCAAATAAAATACGAATAAATTCTTATATATCATGCTATTAAAATGCTTAATGAATATCCCATTAAAATGATTTTGTTAAATCTCTTGTATCAATATACTCAAATATTTTAGTTTGAAGTCTCCCATATAGTTTTTATAGTTAAAATGGTATTGAATCAATCTCTTCTCCATGTATTGAGTGTTCATATTTCCATAAATACAATCCTCTACGAAATTCTGGAGTCATGAACAAAGTCTATAGAACAGAATTCATATAACAAGTAGCACCTATGTTTTATAGTCCTAAATATGGAGCATCAATTTAATATGAATTTGTTGTCATTTAAATTTTATTATTAACTCATTTCACTTGATCTTAATTAATTAGGATTAAGCATCCTTATAAAATGATTATTTATGAAAATTATTTATAAATTTACTCAACAAGTTCTTTATCAGAATAAGCAATATTCAATTCTTAAACCATCATAATTATCTATACCAAAAGAAGCATTCATTGCTAAAATAACTAATAAAGATGGTACTACATCTTTACATGATCTCAATAGAGAATTAAAATAAGATTGCACTATTGAATTTTTAGATTTCACTAATTAAGATGCTAGAAGAGTCTTTTGGCATTCAAGTGCTCATGTTTTAGGAGCTATTTTAAGTAAATTTGGAGCTGAATTAGAATTTGGACCATCAACTGAAAATGGGTAAAATTATTATATATATCATACCTATTAGATTTTACTATCAATGTAAAATGGATAAGGAAATTGAATTAGATTAATTAAATTAAGAAATTGAATAATATTTGAAATAGAAAAAGCATCTTTTTGAAATTCATAATATATCATATGATGAAGCATTATAATTATTCAACAAAAATTCATATAAATTAAGTAAGATTAAATAGACAGCATTATAAAATTATTAGATTTATAAATTAGATGATTTTATAGATTTATGTAAAGGTCCTCATATTGATCATACAAATCGTATTTATAAATTAATAATTAATCATTCATAACCTTACTAAAATAGTTATAGATATTAAGGTATTGCATTTCCAAATTCCAAATTATATTAAGAATATCAAAATTAGTAAGAATGTGATCATAGACATATTGGAAAACATCAACATTTATTTGTATTTAATAAATTAGCTCCTGGAAGTGCATTCTTTTTACCTCATGGAACAAAGATTTATAATAAGTTAATAGATATGATTCGTAAAGAATATAGAGAAAGAGGATATTAAGAGGTCATTACACCATAATTATTTCATAAAGATTTATGGAAATAATCTGGTCATTTAGATAAATATGCAGATAATATTTATATGACTCATGATAATTAAATGGGATTGAAACCTATGAATTGTCCTGGTCATTGTTTATTATATAAAACATTATAACATAGTTATAAAGAATTACCAATTAGATTTGCTGATTTTGGTATATTACATAGAAATGAAGTACACGGTACATTAACTGGATTAACAAGAGTACGTAAATTTACATAAGATGATGCTCATATATTTTGTACAATTGAACAAATACAATAAGAAATTAAAAATACATTAGACTTTTTGAGTAAAGTATATGGTCGTTTTGGATTTACTTGGGAATTAACTTTATCAACTAGACCAGATAAATTTATAGGTGATTTACAAATATGGGATGAAGCTGAAAAATAATTAAGAATTGCATTATCTGATACACCATATACAGAAAATCCTGGAGATGGTGCATTTTATGGTCCAAAGATAGATGTTTTAATAAGAGATCATAATAAAAAATAACATTAATGTGGTACAATTCAATTAGATTTCAATTTACCAGAAAGATTTGATCTTACATATCATCATGAAAATGATAAATTTTCAAGACCAGTAATGATTCATAGGGCTATTCTGGGTTCTATAGAAAGAATGATGGCTATATTAACTGAGTAATATAATGGGAAATGGCCATTTTGGTTATCTCCAAGATAAGTATTGATAATTCCTGTAAGTGAAATTTCAAAATCTTATGCAAAAGAAATTTATGATTAATTATATAAATTAGAATTTGAAGTGGAATTGGAGGATACTGAATAGACTTTGAGTAAGAGAATAAGAAAGGGAGAGATGTTACATTTCAATTATATTTTAACTGTTGGAGCTAAAGAACAAGAATCTAAGACTGTGGATGTTAGGGAGAGAGGAGATAATCATAAACATTAATCAATGAAATTAGATGAGTTTATAACAAAAATTATTTAATTATGATTCAAAAACCTTAAGAGGATGGTCCACTTCAGCCGTTTGATTTATCATTTCGTGGAGATGACCAAAGGTTTATGGAATTGGAAAGAGCCTAAACAGTTTAAGAATTCGTAAAGTCTATTTAGAAACGAAATTTTGAATTCGAATTTCAATATCTTAGACAAAGCACTGAGACTAAAGAACATGATAAATAACTAATTAAGACTGTTCAAGTTTAAAGATTGAATAGATACACAAATATATTACCATGTATATTAATATACTCATTTATTCTTAGTTTCACATTCAATTGTAAAACCAGAAGCTTAATCAACAAATAAATTTAGTACACCAAGAGATAAATTTTACATCAATGCAAATTACATAAAAGGAATAAATAATGTTGAAAAATAATACATAGCAACTTAAGGACCAATTCCAGAATCTATTGATGATTTTTGGCATATGGTTTGGACTAATAATGTTGGTGTCGTGATAATGTTGTGTGCTTTATCTGATAGAGGAAGAGTATTCCTTTTGCTTTACTTAGATCCAATGCGAGAAGTATTGGCCAAATGCTGGATAGAAGGCACAATTTGGTCCCTACGAGGTGAATACGATTTCTTAAGAAGAGGCTCCAAAGACTCTTTTTAAAAATAAGATCATACTCAAATGTTAAGATGAATAAAGAGAGATTATTCATTATTAATGGGCAGGTTGGACTGATTTTGGTGTTGTTGATAATACTTAATTTAAAATTCTTGATATGTTAGCAGAAGTTTCAAATACTGCTGGTATGTAAAATAAAAGACCAGTAATTCATTGCAGTGCAGGAGTTGGAAGAACAGGAACATTCTTAGCTATATGTCATTTAAAATAGTTATTAATTAATAATCAAGCAAAAATATCTGTATTTAGTATAGTGAGAAGATTGAGAGAGTAGAGAGCCTTAATGATTTAGACATCTGAGTAGTATCAAATGGTTTATAGATACACAATATGGTTGATAGAAAATTTGAAATATATTTGATATTTAGATGAATATTTTAATAAAATTCAACCTCTCATAATTGGCTATTAATATTTTATTTTATTTATATATATTATAAAAATTAAAAAAAAGAACAGCCGATTGAGAGAATTGAACTCTCGACCCTTTGCTTACAAGGCAAAAGCTCTAACCACTGAGCTAAACCGGCTCGGTTATTAAATATTCCACTTATTCATTTATGAGATGCCCGATTCATTCATTTCATATTATTATTTAAATTATACTTAATATAATTTAGGATATTAACATCTTGTTATGATTATTATAAAAATCACTTACTTTACACTTTATTTTATGATTAATTCCTCTTTAGATGTCTTTTGATCCTTCCTATATCTAGAATTAAATAAGAAATAAAAATAAATCTAAATTTACTATAGAATAAGTGGTATCATTAAGAAAATATCCTCTTTTCAAAGGTATTTTCACTTAGATTTGGAATATTGTTTAATATATGAATTCCTTATAAAATAAAAAAATGAAAGGAATTGATTTATTTAAATAAAAATTAATATATGACTACAGTGTCTGTGGATTTTTTGCAACAGATTACTCTTCTCGGTAAGCAAATTTTATTAATTTCTATAGACCCAATGAATAGGAAGTAAACTATCACAGAGTTAAAGAAGGTCCTCATCAAGCCATTGCTATTGTCTGATTTTAAGAAAATTTGGAAGGCTCTCTATTATGGTATTATTGTTTTTAATTTTAAGCAATGTGGAGTTCAGATAAGTATCAAAATCAATAGATTCTTGCAACTGAAATATCATAGCTAACAAGAATGTTCTACTCTAATTTCACTGCATTCATCCAATTTTCTAGAGCCATGTTCCATGTATTTTTGGTTGAATGGGAGAAGATTGATTATTGGCGAATTAATAAATTTATGCTATTATTTAGGGAAATCATAGAAGAGTAAATAAAAATATGCAAGCATTTTAATTGGAAGACAGTTCCCTAATTAATTGCTTTATATAATGAGACTGTTTTAAATCTAACAGAATTTTAGACAGGTATGATTCAATATCATAACTCTATTAGTTTAAGGAGCTACATTACACTTCATTTAAATATTTGTTTAATGTTTAGCTAAACATATGAGTGATTCTACTGTTACATATGTTCAAATTAAGGATCTTCTTGAAGGGTTCTTAGATATTCTTAAGCACAGTCCAAATAAGACATTGAGAGATAAAACTATACAATATGTTTATGAATATATAGAAGAGAAATAAGCTAATGAAACATATTTACCAGCCTTTGATTCTAAGAAATATGGAAATTATGTTTTTAAATTAGCTTCATAAGAGTAATATAATATAAAGTATCTTATAGGAATGTCAATCCTTAAAATAGGAAAGCTCTTTATAGAGTGGCAGAGATTTTTAATTTTAAAGAAGCAGAGGAGGAATCACCTAAGATTGAAGTTGAAGAAGTTCCAAAAAAGAAAAAGTAAAAAAAAATATAAGAAAATCAATAAATGCAAAAACCATAAGAAAAACAATAATTTGAAGACAATTATGTATAATAATAATAAAATGAAGAACAATAATTTAATTAGTAAGAAGAATAAGAGGAATAAGAAGTGATTTAAGTACATTAAAAAGTATAAAAAAAAAATGGAAAAGAAAAAGTAGCAAAAGAAAAGGAGTAATAATAATAACAAAATACAAAAGCAAATTAGAAGGAAGAGAAAGCCATATTGAAATTACATAAGAAATAAGAAGAACAAATAAATTCACATTATATGCAAGATAGTTTGATTCAAGATGAAGATACTATAGAAGGTGATGATTATAGCGAAGTTAGAAAGAATCCAAATAAATTAAAAACTTTAAAAGAGATTATGAATTCTGTTCCTGTTTATTTGTTTATGAATCCAGCTGAGAAACGCAAATACTTTAAATCTATTAATATGAAATTTTAAGAAGCTTTGTAAAAAGAAAAAGGAACTCATTGTACACACAATAAGAGTGTCCACTTTGATTTAGCTAGAAATAAAGTGAAAAGTAATAATGTGAATTTATTTTATTAGCTTTCAAATAAACAGACAATGTGCTAAGAATTTCTAAGTCATGAATTTGATATTTTATATGTATAATAAATATGGCAGAGAATGTGAAAAAAATTACTCTTAAAAAATTCACTTTAGACTTTTATTTGGCTAAAATTTGAAACGACTATTTAATTACATAAATTTACATACGCATTTACAAAAAGAAGCTTTAGTTCAATGTATTTTCTTTCTATTCCTTCTTCAGTTTCATTCATTTTTGAACATTCTAAAATTGTTTCATCATCCCTTTTACTAGGACTAGGACGAGAAGAATAACTAAGCTAAGATTTACGTTTTTTTACTCCTGTTATATTTTCTATATATGAATCACGTTTTATTTATTAAATTTTATCTTAAGCTTTAATCTCAGGAGTCAAAGAAAGATTAGATTTACTATTTCTTACTCTAGAAATTGAATTAAAAGAAATCTTGCTCAATCTACTTAAAATACTAGGTTAGATTCCCAATAAAACACTATTATTGAAATCAATATCAGAAATTGTATCATTAAAACTACTTATTGATTATATTCTATTCTTTTTACGATTAATTTCTGGAGTTAAAGTAGATTTTTTTTATTCAGGAGTCCTTAATAAAGAATTCATCTCTTATTCAATAGACTAATTTAATTAAGATCCCAAAATATTATTAGATGATAAATCTTCCTTTGTTTTTCTAAATCTAAAAATATTATGTAATCTTTATACATAGATGGTTTACTATTGAATAAATTACTACTAGTACTTTATCCTTCTTTTTCTCCTTTTTAAGAAATATTCCAATCAAAAACCAATTCTTTTGGTAAATAATTGTGTTCATTTTATACTTTTCTAAATAAAGATTAACAGTATTTATAATTTGGTTCTGATTTAAAAGGTAAACCTCTAACATAATCTAAATATCTTCCAAATTCAATTGGTAATCCTTTACATAATTCACTTACTTCCATCTTCATTTTCATTTAGCCTACTTACTTAATTTTATTTTCTTCTGAGGTGAATTATAAATTTTACCATGGCAATTAACCTTGTTATTATATCAATTAATCTTTATACCTTTAAGTAGAAATATCAACATATAACCAAGTGACTCCATATCATCCCTTCTACTTAAAGAATAGCCTTTATGAGCATTGATACTAGCATATCTAGTAGTCCCTATGAATGGTTATTTTTCCCTAAAAGATCTAATTTAGATTGAATTGATTGATACATATGAGATTCATTTTCATCTTTATAGAACTTACTTATGCCAAAGTCTACAATGTATAATCGACTCTCATCATCATCTTTTCCAACTAAAACATTTTCTGGTTTTATATCTCTATGCAACACTTTACTAAACTATTTCAACAATATACTTCTTATGTAAACTTTCTAATATATTGATCATCTATTCAGCTACATTAAGGACACATTTCAAAGAGAATTTTCTAAAAGTCTTCATGTAATGAGTTAAATCTCTTCCTAAATGTTGTATTACAAGAACATAAGATTCCTGGTCTTTTCCAGCCCAATAAAATTTTGGTATATGTTATAAAGGTTATAGTCTTCTTAAAATTTCTGCCTAAAATAGTAAAATCTTAATACTTCTCTTAATAAACTTGAGTCTTCTTTATTTTCTTTATCAATCTTTATAGCAACAAAATTTCTTGTATTAATATCTTAACCTTAATATACAACTCCAAATGATCCTGCAGATATTCTTTTTTTTGTAATGTAAACATTGTTGATAATTTTCTGATTATTCATTTTAGACAATAATAATAATATTAATAATAAGTATTTTTAAATGAAATAAACATATATATATTTTAATGATCTAAATTGTAAATAAAGTATATACAATAAATTAATTAATCATTCTTATTATTCCTCATCATCATCATCATTACCTTCTGAATATTATAAATATTCTGAGATAAGATCTTCTATATTTGCACCAGCTTCAGTGAATTCCAATTCATCCATTCCTTCATTTGTATACCAATGAAGAAATGCTTTTCTTTTGAACATAGCCTAAAAATTGTTATGGATTCTTCTGAACATTTCATTAATAGCAGTTGTATTTCCAATAAATGTTCCTGAATTAACTACTCCCTTCTAAGATACATTACATTATGAAACCTTCATATTATTTGGTAACCATTAAACTTAATTTTAAGGATTCTTTTTCTAAAATTGAATTATTTATTTTTCAACTTCTGAACTTGAAAATTATCCTCTATATATACAAGCTCCACTTAAATATCTTCCTTATTTGCAGTTGATTGCACACATTTAATTTTATGGATCAAACATTTAATCACTGACTTCTGATATTTTTAATGATCTATATTATAAACTTTGTCTAGAAGTTAAAGGGGCAAATGAAGTTGTGAAGAAATGTAATCTTGGAAATGGTACCAAATTCACACTTAATTTTCTTAAATTACTATTTAATTAACCAGGAAATCTAAGTGAACAAGTTGTTCCTGACATTGAAGCTGAAATTATATGATTTAAATCTCCATAACATGTATTCTTAAGTTTTAAAGTATTTGTACAAATATTGTACAGAGCTTCATTATCAATTGACATACACTATGAACAGTTTTCAATTAAATGATTTACAGCAACAGCAGTATTATAATATTCTACTACTGCATCACTTACTTTTATTGAAGGAAATACAGAATATGCTTAAAATATTCTATCACAATAATCCTCTTATAATTTTGACAATAATAAGGTACCAAAACCTGATCCAGTTCCACCTCCTAAAGAATGAGTTATCTAAAATCCTTATAAACAATCTGAATTTTCAACTTGATGTCTTATTACATCCAAAACTTCATTCAATATTTCAGTTCCATTAGTATAATGTCCAATTGCAAAATTATTACCTGCTCCACCTTAACTAAAAATAAAATTGTCAGGTCTAAATAATTTTCCATATCTGCTTGCTCTAATACTATCCAATGTTCCTGGTTCTAAATCTATTAAAACATTTCTTGGAATGTATCTATTTCCATTTACTTCATTAAAATAAACATCTAAATATTATTGAATCTCATGTTCTTATTCAATTAATTATCCATTCTCATCTATATTATGTTCTTAAGCTATTTCCTCCCAAAATTTAGTTCCTATTTGATTTCCACATTATCCTATTTATAGTTGTATAATTTCTCTCATTATTTTCTTTAATTATGTCTTAAGATTTCAGATTGTCCTTTTATATATGAATAAATTATAAAAGAAATTTTAATTAATTACTTATCATTGCTATTTTATTAGTATATATTATATTTATCAAGATTATTATTTAATATTATTAAATCTACAATTTATATGTCCTAAATCCAAACAATTCAAACATTTTGCTTCTGGAGATTGAACATCAAAATTTAAATTGCCTTTTTCTAATTTTTATTCACAATCATAAAAAGAATGATTTAAACTCAAACAAATTAAACAATAAAGTTATTTTTCTACTTCACACATTTTCATTTCATGCCCATACTATCTACAATTCCAACAAAATTAATAATATTTATAATCAAAATAACGCTTCGATTTTTAATACTTTTTTTTATTCCACATCTTATTATTATAGTCTTCATCACTTGAAGATAATTATTATTGAATAAGATCTGTTTCTGTATACCAATCCATCTCTTTTTTATTTAAAAATAAGTCCTTTACTTTTTACAATAATTTAGCTTCATTTGTACTTTTCTTTGTTGCATCAAATAATTCATAATATTGATTAGCATCTTATACCTTAATATTCTACACTCCTAACTTATCTAAATTAATTACTATTATACTTATAATAGGTTGCTTTTCAAATTAAAATGCCTTTTCTTCAGAATCACTACTACTATCCTCAAAAAGATGAAACATTATTAATTATTATAATTTAAATTTTCCAAAAATATGTTTCTATTTCCAATTTTATTTTTAAAAACAAAATAAGTATACTTTTTACATAATAACTCTTAAATAATTTTCATTTTCTATCAATGTTTTTACAAAATCAGAACTTCTTTAACATGATAAAAATTAATACATAACCTTTTTTACTAGAAATGCTATATTTATTAAGAATCATTTTTATAATTTTAAATTTATAGAAAATTTGTTAAAAAGGAGAAGATCTACAAATAATAGAGTTAAGATTCATCTATTATTCTTCATAAGATTATAAATATCGATTAAAAAAACAAAATAATAATACAGTTGGTTTAAATAGCATCGTAATTACTGAATTAAGTATCATGTGCAAAGGTAGATGGAATATACTCATAATTATAATGAAGCTATTGAGAATTATGACCAATTTAGAATGTACCTATATCAATACTTTTTATTATATTAAATATGTTTTTAAATTTCAAGATATACTTAGAAATAACTATCAAGATATTCACTTCACTTATTGTTTAGAAATTACAAACTATTTTATTCAACTTGAATTTATTGGTTGTAAAAATAGAATGGAAATTATTTAGATTGTTTAAGGTTGTTAAATAGTATACTATTCATTAAAAAATTTAAATAAGAATCGCAATAATAATATTATCATCTTTATTATATATTCAATATTTTATGTTTATCATACGTGGGCAAGCTCGAAATATTGAATTCCGTTATTAGTCAACAAAAATTAGCAAATAAATATTATGATTATTAAGTTATTTATAAATAAATAATACTATAAAAATATATCCAATTCAAAATCGATAAATGTATTTTGACATCTTAAATTTTATGATTTCATGATAATTTAATTATAAATTAAATATGAAATACTGAAATTTAATTTAAATGATAAAAAAAGTAACATTGAAAATAATTTAAAAATTATATGGAATTAATATCTAATTCATACTAAAATAATCATTCTTACTCTATTTCTTTTTCTTCATTTTCCTTAAGGTTTTAGGAATTGTCTACTACTTCATTTTATTCAATTTATTATTATTCTTATTCCTATTAATTTTCTACTTCCTATTTTTCTTCATTTAATTCTGATTCCAATTAAATTTAATTTTATAGATTTTCTTCATAATTATTTTCCTTTGTAATTTATTCAGTTTTATCTATAGTTTATGTAATTTCATCTTCTTATTTTACTTATTCTTCATTTTATTCAATATGATTAGTCTTTTCATTTTATTCTTCTAAAATCATTAATTCTTGATTTTGAATTACTTAATTTTATTCAGAAACTGAGGCATTAACTTTTTATTATTCTTCATCATTTAAATTTTATTACTATTATTATACTATATTTTGTTATTCTGATTATTGAAGTTTAATTTAACTTTATGTTAATTATGTTTATTGAACCTTTTGTTAACTAAATATTTTTAAATATTTTACATTGTAAAAGGATATTTCTTATTATTTAAAGAATTCAATACAATATTATCTTTTATTAATAAATTCCATAGTGTTTAAATAGAAGTTTATTCTCTAAACAAACCATCATTTACTGATGATTTAGGTTTGAATAAATGTTTTTGAAGAACTTTAGCAACTGATATACGGACATTTTTAATAGGATCCTATCCCAAATTTATGAAAGCTTCAAGAAAATCAACTTGAAATTATTCATATCTCATTAGTTTTTCACACATAATAACAAAACTATTTTGAATACATCAAATACCTTTATCTTTAATTGAACATATTACTATTTGCAAAACCTAAAATATTTTATTTCAAAACACTGAAATATAATTCATTTTGACTTTTTGAAAATTTATCATAAAGTTCAAATATTTATTTTGCAGCCTAAATTAAATTAAAAATATTTACTGCTTTTCTAACAGCATATACATTATCATTACATAACTTAGTTGAAACTGGGAGTATAATAGAAAACACAGTTTCAACATCAAAAACTTAAGCTAAATGTGAAATTTATTTAGCAATTAATTCTCTGATTCTCCATTTCTTTTAATCCTTCTATATAATCAATAAGATATCAATTAATGATGCTCTTTTAGATTCTTCTATGGCATCAAAAAATAATCCTAGATTTTCAACTGCACCATGTTTGATTTCATCATTTGGATCTTAAAGCAATTATTCTAAGACTTTAAGTAATTCTGAATAAGCTAATTATGGTCCCAATAATTTAGCTAAAACATGAATACTACAAGCCAAAGGTTTTTTGACTCTCAAAGAAATATTATCTATATATACCTTATCTTTATGATTAATCAATTTCATAAACAATTTACTAAGTTATGGCCACTTTTTATCAGTATAAACTTAAAGTACAGCTGGAAAATACAATGCACATTCAATAACAATCTATAATATATAATTAAATTTACTTCATTATCTATTCCTAATTCTCTTATATCAGAATCATTCATTTTCAAATAAAATTCTAAGAGTTTATCATTTATATTTTCTGATCTTGTAATAATAGATATGTATTTTCCTAATTATTTATATGCATGTTATTTAACCCATTTATTTTAATCACTTTTTATATTCAATTTTATTTTACTCTAATAATGCAAGTAATCTTCCTGTAATCAAATCAAAATTTTCTGTATCTGTCTATTCAGCTAATTTAACTATAATATCAAGACATGCTTTTCTTGTTTGCCATGTTCTTTCTTCAGTTTTTCTATATTAATTAATTTAATAATTTACTTAGAAAAGAATGGGATTAATCTATGTTTTATAAAATCTTTAGAAAGAACTTTAGCAATGTTAGCCAATTAAAGAACAGCCTCTTTACGTATTGGTTATTTAGCATCATCTCCTTTGGATAGGATTTCTAAAGCTATGAATGATTCTGATAATTCAGGTCCAAAATCTGCAGCTAATTAACCAAATAACTATAAAATATAGTAAAATATTAACTTTAACGGCAATCATAACATTTTCATCATTATTATCATCATGTGCCATTTAAATTACTTAAGTAAGAATTAGATTTCCTCTATCTCTTTCATTTAATTCTTTGGCAACTACACTTATAGAATTTCCAGCTTATTCTTTTATCTTATTATAAATTTATTGATTACATCAAAATTATTAGATTTTAATAATTCTTATAAAGCCTTCACTACATGTTGTTTTATGAGTTCTTAACTGTTTTATTTAGTTTTCAAAAGTACACAGATTTACTCTAATTGGGCTATAAAATTTTTCTTAATTTCATCAGCATCTTCTAACTAAAAATTAAAACTTCATTTTACTATCTACTAAATTATTGTATTTAAATTTTCAATAGCAGAATCTCCTATCCATGTTAATAGTTCTCCTAATCTTTTTGTAAAAGCAAGTCTATCTTTACTATTTAATTTACCTCTCTTTGTAATGGCAATCCTTAAGCTTCATGAGTTTTTCCAATACAATTTAAGGGTTTTCATCAATAAATACTGCATCTTCCTCTCTTCTTTAAATCTATTGAACTGGAATATATTCTTCTCTATAAATTTCCTAAACGATGCTTCCTGTATCTAAATTAATAATCAAATCATCATAGATACCAACAGGAGGATTTTCATTGGGAGAATTTTACATATCCTTTAATATATATATTTATTAAATTTTAAAATGAAATTTGGCACATATATTCAATAACCATGAACTTGGATAATAAATGATAAATTGTTATATCACTTATATGAATCTAATTTACTCATTATAAGAATGAGTTAATATACAATAAATTGTATATAATAATAATTTATTATTATATTATTTTATACAATACATCAATCATCTTCATCATCTTCATCATCATCTTATTCATCTTCTTCATCAATTTCATCCTCATCCTCATCATCCTTCAAATCTAAATAATAAGACAATGATTATGGAATTATTTCTTCAATTATTGCTTCTCCTATTTCAAGATCAGCTGTAATCTTTTCTTCCTTTTATAATTCTTCTTCATCTGTTTATGCAGGAGCAATATCATCAAAAAATTTAAAGAATGATTTTAATTTAACTTCTGTTTCAATTATTCTAGTTTAATTGGTTTTCTTATTTCTTTATTTCTTCTTTTTTATAGTCTTTGTAACATTCTTTCCTTCCTTCCAATTTATTTATGTTCCATTACATTTATAAGGTAATTCACTTTCTTCATTATTATAAATAAATTCTTTCTCTAATACCTTGTTTTCAAAGTATTGATTTGGATTAAACTCAAATCTTAATTTAAAATCTCTATCATTATCACCAAAACTAGCAGTAATACTTTTTAAAGATGCTAATACATCTACATCTTTTTATGTAATTTTTGATCCTGTGATACCTGCATGTTATAATACTTTTGACCAATAATCAGAAATTGGTTCAGCTTCCTTTATAGTTGAATCTTTCATTTCTTCCTCAGTAGGTTATCTGGTTCCATTAGCTAATGCATTTACTTCTGATAATTCTGGAAGACAATTTTTTAAGTGATCTGTTGTTACCTTATTCACATTTTCTGCATATTATTTTTCCAAATTAGACCATTTCTTTACATAATGAATTAAAGCAACTGCTTTTGATAAATCTTCAGGCTTGAATTTTTGTTTTACAGCTTCAATCACTCCATAATCAATAATCATAAAAAATTAACCTTAATTTATTTTATAATTGCACTTATAAATTAAAGAGCATTAAATTTGTGAAAAAAATATATATTTTAATTTTATAATTAGTATTAGTCATTAAAATGTTTTAATTTCAATCATTTTTACATTTCTAAATTCTTTAGATATTAATAGAATAATCTAATCTATTAATAAACTATGTTAGAAAATATTGATTATTCTTCATCTTCATTAACTCTAATATTTGATTATTAATTAGATACTAAAATACATTAATTCTAATTTCTTAAAATCTATAAGAGTATATCTACATAAGTTCTTAAGATATTTAATAGATTCAAAAGGTTAGATCAAATTTATGTTTACATATTAATTAATTTAATTATATGTATAATAATTCAAATGATTAATATTATGAAAATTGTATTATTTTGCTTATGATATTTCTAATGAAAACTAAAAACCTTATACTGATTAAAATTTATTACGTTTTGATTTCCTTTTAATATAGAAAAAGTTAATAGTTTTCTTATATGATATCTTAGACAAATAAGGTAAGAAAATCCTATATGAAATTTATTTGCTAATGATCATCTATAAGATTGTAATGAAGAAGATCTAAAATATAGATAACCATATTACCCATATTTTATTAACCAAACTAAATTAAATATCCTCCCTATCCTTCCCAATTTTATATACATCAATACCCACATCCTTTTTCTTATTGATATAGAACATCTATTAATTTTCCAGAATATGATGAATTACATTACTATAATCCATCGATAGTACAACAAGGAATGAATGCAAATGTAAGAAATCTTAATGCAAAAAGAAATATTGTGAATTCGATTGTATCAATTAAAGATGAAAAATTCTTTGCTAATTTGAAAACTGTAAGAATATACCTGAATCCTAAGATGCCTCCATTGATTAATTTTAAAAATTGTAAAATCTATAAATAATGATTTATTATTTAGTGCCTCGAATAAGTGTTTTAAATCTTATTTTATACTTAAAAATATAAATTAATTCATTCAATATCAATATCTTTTTTGAATCAAATAGCTTTCATTTTAATTTTGATATTATTAAGTCTTAGGTTTATCGTCTTTTTCCTAATATTGAGAATGCGATCTCTAATATTGAGGCATATATTTTTATTGAGTATTTTAATAGTTATATGGCTAGTTTACAGAAACATTATATTATTATTTTTGATCATATCTTGTAAGTGTGTGTAATTAAGGAACTCTATAATTCTAGATTTGCAAAGGAGTTCTTAAAGGTAAAGTTTTTTCATATCTATCTCCATAACTTTCAGTATGTATTCTAACTTTTTAATCGAAATTTAGAAAGATATCATCTTTTTCAGGACTTACTTCTCTTGAATCTTCTTAAGTATTTTATCTAAAAGTATAATTGCTAGATTAATGATGAGTTTAATTGCATTATAATTATGTTTATTATTATAAGACCTTTTATTATTATTATTATTATTATTATTATTATTATTATTATTATTATTATTATTGTTATTATTATTGTAATTGTAATTAAGATTATTATTATTATATTTATAATATATCTTAATAATATTATTACTTTTATAATTCTTATTATTATTAAATTATTTATTCTTAAGTTAGTTATTATTAATTTTATATTTAAGTTTGCTATTATTATTAATTTTAAATTTAAGGTTATTATGTAATTTGTTATGATAATTTTTGATTTTATTGAAGTTGATTAAGATTGACTTACTATTGAACATTGGATTCCTAAGAATTTTATTTTTATTATTATAAATTTTTAATGAAATTTTCTAGTCTCTCCTTTTCCTAAGACCATATTTTAGATCTTTCTGTTAATTCATCTTTAATTTATATATTCTCTTACTATATCAATTTATTCTACTATTGAAATGTAATAATCTGTTAATTAAAATAAGTTTAATATTATTATGCAATTGTTTCTTATTATTATTCAATTTCTTTCTATTATATAATATAAACATTACCAAAAATGAGTTTCTTAATTCACTAATCTGAAGATTATAATTTTATTCTAGATTAGCTATACAAGATTAATAAGAGACTTATTCCTAATATAGTTATTGCATAAATTGTTGTTCTTTTATTTAATATTCCTTTAATGTATCAACATACTATTATTATTATGCTATTAAAACTTATTTTTATTGTTCCAATACAATACACTTTCTATGATATAAATACTAAATTACTCATTAACTGCTTTCATTTCTTCATTTCTTAAGGTAATTTAATCATTTTTTTCTAATAATTAATTATTTAATATATCTATGTCATTTAATCGTGTTTATAGCATTTCATTAAGATTTTAGTTTTCCAATAATATTTATTAGAATCTATATTCTATTTCTTTTTTATTCTTTGATTACTCATCAATTAATCTACTACTTAATTATTCATTTGCTTAAGTTAGTTAAACTACTTTTTATTAATAATTCATTAATTTTTATTGTGATTCTTATACTAATAATGTTCTATTTGAATAATTATTTTATTTCATAATTTCTATTTCTCTCATTAAACCAGAATTTATTTCAATTAACTTTGAATTTTCTGTAATGAGTAATTAAATTTTTGATTACATTGAGGTAAGGTTTTTTTCATTATTATCAATAGGTTATTCTGTAATTCTAAAACTGGGTTCAGATTCTTCTCTTTTAATATTTTTCCTTAATCCAATTTAATTTGAGGAATTATAATTATTATCTAAAGTTGGAGATGTTAAATTTTGATCTTATGGTTCATTAAGATGCATTTATAAAAACTCTTAAAATGATTGTTTAGATTCTCTTTCAAAATTGACTACTTTAAATGAATCTGACATTATTTCGAATTTAAATAAAACTAAATGTTAAAATATTTAAATTTGTAATACTTTTTAATATAATTATTCAAAAAATAAAATACTTTATAATTAAACATATTTCCTTTTAGATTATTGTTCATTTATATTATATTCATTTGTTTTGTGCATTAAATATTGATATATGTAAAATAAATATTAAAGAATTCTGCTATAGAAATGTTTTTGTGTAATTAATGTATTGTATATGAATAATGTTTCAAAGTCCTAATTCTTTGAAATTTGGATTTGGTCTTGAATATTCGTTGGTTAAGAAATATCTATAATGAATAACAAAAACTACTCTGGGAAATATTTCTTAGCTAATCCATAAGAAGCATTCATTCTGACACATAATTAGAAATAATTTCTTGCATCCAAACATTCAGGCACATAGGAGTCTTCAAATAGACCAAATTGATTTTTGCAATGTTATGCCATTCTATCATAGAGATGACAAGCAAGTAATTGATTTGCCTAATTGATAATTTGATATGAATACTTTATATTCGACAAACTCAAATTTTAGATTATCCAATAATTTTACATGATTTTTAGTCAATGTTTAAAGATTGATCATATTTCTGAACATGAAATCTGTATAATATGATTTATAGAATACCTTCTTCTTCCCAAACTTCGTTATAAATTGGCATCTGTATTAATTTAGGATATATTTAATTATGAATAAAAAAAATTGAGTATTAAAAATTAATTAAACAAATCACATTTATTTTTTTAATTTTTTATTGATGATTTAAAGTGTTTTAATGTTATCTTTGAGAAAAATAAGACTAGTTTACCATTATTCTAATATCTCCTCATTATCAAACAATAATTCAATCCTACCATCATTTTAAGTAATGATTGACATAGGCCAATATAAAATTCCACAAACAATCCTTTCTTCTTGACTTAAAATAAATTTGTTTTATATTTATTTCTTTATTAAAATACTCTATTAAATTGTTTTTGGAATTATTACTCTCATTATTTAATCTAATTACAACAATGAATCAACTTGCTAAATAATATAATAAATAATACATTAATTCTCATTTAATTTTTAAATTCAATCTTATCCAAGTTTTAAGATAATGTCATCATTCTAGGACAATATCCACAAATATTTGGATTTTAACAAGTAAATGGATCAAATTCCATCTTAGTTAAATTTGGTTTAGTGGATGTAAATCTTTTAAAAATCAACACACCTTTTTATAATGGTTTAGTAATTCTGAGTATTTCTTATTCTATTGGAACTAAATGATTTTATTTATTTGAGAGATATTAGGAATCCTTTGAATTATAATAGGTTTATCCATTATTAGTTGATACATTACAAAATAATTGCCTTTATTATATATCTTTATTTAAAGTTGAATCAAAAGATTTAGATTTTTTATGTTTTTGTATTTATTCAGATAATGAATTTTATTCCTTAAATCTAAAAACTTAAGGTTGTTAACTCTTTTAAGTCTATGGATTTGATGGTTAATTATTGAAAAATAATGGCATATATGGAGATGGTATAGAAATTTATTTTTATGTAACTTCATTTAAATTAGACATTTATAATTAAGATTAACCTAATCTATTAGTAAAACGCTTTGTTTATTCAGATAGTGGAGCTGTGATATTTTAAGATGAATTATCAACAATTTTAACTTTATTTAGATTTAAGTAATTTTAATGAATTGGAGTTGTATTGATTTTAGTAGATTATTCCATTTTGGATTTCTCTCTTTTTGAACTTAATTATTCTTCAGTAATGGTTTATAATCTAATAAAATCTATTGATTAAGTTTAATTTTCGTTGGGTAAATTCTTTTAATTAAAATAATTATATTATTATTATTATTACTATTATTATTATTATTATTATTATTATTATTATTATTATTATTATTATTATTATTATTATTAATATTAATAGTATTATTACTACAATGGTAAATTACATTAATTATTTTTAGACTTTTCAGATTAAAGTAATGTTAAATTTAATTCATTAAAATGTTATAATAAGGAATCATCAGCAGATAATTAACAAGCTGATGAACACTTAGAATTATTCTCTCCATCTATACTGTTTATTTGTAAATACTATTGTAATTAACTAAAGTGTAAGGAATCATCCTTATTTAAGTGACTACTTAATACTTTTTTTGTTTATTTATTTATATTGCTTAAAATATTAGTACAACTTTTAAGTTAAGAATTACTATTATCACTTTTCTGATCTTCATTATCATTATCTATTTATGATAAACAATCAAAACCTGTTAATATTTCATTATATATTTCTTCAGTTTTCTATTTATTTAAGATTTCTTATTAATATAGATCTTTTTTCATAGTAATTTCATTCAATTATTATTCTAATTATTAATTTTCTTATTCAAGAACTTCAACTCTTTTTAATAATTGAAATTTAGATTAATCTTCTTCTAAAAGATTATTTCTAATATTTTAAACTTACTATTTCTTTTAATTCATTGTTTATTTTATTGTATAAATATCTTCATTTAATGAATTATCAACATATTCAATATTTAATTGAATAGCTTTTTCTAATTTCTCATGATTTCTTATTATCTAAATTATACCTTAAATTTTTTTATTATATTATTGTGAGATTAATTGATTAATCTATTACTCTTATTCTTTAAGAACCTATTCATACACATCATTTCCATATTAATTCTTAATATTCTCAAATTAATGACCTTATATTTAGAAAATAATACTTTACCCCATTATTACATATAAGTTGTCATAGCAAGTATTGTTTCTTAATTGATTTTCTCTTTTAATACTTTATGTTATTATTCTCTATCCCTTATCAAATCTGCTGTATTACCTGATAATTTAAATGATGATGATTTTTTTAACTATTAAATTTGTAGGTCCAACTATTCTATTTTAGTTGCAAAAGTAAACTCAAAATTGCTTTATATTTTATGGAATTCTATTAATTCCTCTAATTCTTCCACTTAACCTATTAATTCGGCTCTTTACAATAATTTCCCATTCAAGTCTTCCATCAACATTGATGCTTGCTCTTACAATATTTATTAATCCTAAATTGCTTATTTATACATCTTATTTAAACTTCCAACAGTTCTATCAATCTTTTTTTAAGTATTTGGAATAAAGGTGGATTAATAATTTGAATTTTCCTTATTCATAGTATCATTAAGCAAATCACTAATCCTTGAATTTCTTCTTGAAATATCTCTTGACTTACATTCAACATACAATAACGAAGGCTTTTTGGATTTATTATTAAACATAATGCAATATTTTAAATAATAAATTCAAATACAAATTATATACTGTTACTTTGTAATATATATTATTATTATTAAATATAGTATTAATATACTCTAGAATTTATATTCATTTTAAATTAACATATACAGTTCTCTCCTTTCCATTTCTCAAAACAACCATTACATGACTATCTACATTTTCTGTTACTCCCAATAATTTTGTTACATCTTTACCATGTTATATACTCACTCCATCAATAGATTTTATTATCTCTCCTAATTTTAAGCCAGCTTTCTCTGCAGGACTATCAGAATTTATTTTTATTATAAATGCACCTCCTTAATCAGAAGTCTTCAAAGTTAATCCCAAATAAGGTTTAACAACACTCTTTCCATTTTCCAATCCTTAAAAGTATTAAGATGGCACCACTTACGTCTTATTTCTAAATTTTCCACTTATTATACCCAACAAATCACCATTCTTATTTAAAACAGGACCTATACAATAATAACATTATTTCTTACTTCCTGGACTAGAATTACAACCATTCATCAAAATAAAAGGGAATGTTTAATTTAAAGCTTCCTCACCTACTAATCGTATATCTAATGTAAAATTGCTATCAGTAATAGGACATTATTGAAATTCTTTTAAGCCTTATTCATCTGTTCCTAAAACATAAGCATTCTATCCTATTTCATATTTTGAGAGATTAAATTAAGATTTCTATTGTTATATTTTTAAGATTGCTATTCCTTCTTCTACTTTAACTATTTCATAATTCTATAGCTAGCCATTTATTTATGCTGAGATTTATGGTTATTAATTTTCGAATACTTCAGAACTAGTAACTACAAATCCATTTTTTAAAACAGCTCCTTATCCTATTATTCTTCCATTGAGAAAGAATTTAACAATTGAGTTCTAAGTTTATTTATTTAAAATCTAAAAGATTTCTTCACTTTGATTCTTTCTACTTCCCCAATATATAAATGAGGCTGTTGAAAATAAGGCAATCTTAGTCATATAGTTTTACTTAAGAATTCTAGAAAACATAAAATAATAATATTGATTAAAAAAATATTATAAAATATATTTTAAATGTATTTATTATTAGAGTAATATTCAAATCTATAAAATTAATTTATTTTAAAGACTTTCTCAATTTTAGTTATAATCTAATTAATTTAATATAAGAAAAGAAGTAATTACATTTAGATTGTACCTTATATAATGATTAATATTAGTAATTGATATAATTGTATAATATTATATTGCATTCTAATATTTGATGTTTCATATATATAATGTTAAGTTAGAAAATCAATGAAAAAAAATGGTAAAATGAAAACAAAATTACTAGAAATGATAAAAATATAAATCTTATAAATTGTCTAATTTAAGTATATCTCATCTATAAAATTTGGTTAAATTTCCTTAGACTAATGAAGTAAAAAAAGTTAAGACCAGAGAATATGGTAAAATTTAGGAATATCAAAAATAATTTGTAAAAGGTTTAAATATAAGAGTTTAATTTTATCATTAAAAGATGTTTAATTAATATCAAAGATCTTACTAATAATTTATAATGAGATTTTTGGATTTTTTAGAGTTTATTTAAATGAAAATGATTATTAAGGTTTTAGTCGTAAGAGAATATTGCAATAAAACAAAGAATATAAATAAAAGATTTAATTAGAGCAGAGTGGAAGCATAAAGAAAAGTTCTAGAGAGGTAAAAGAGTTTGTTTACATTCAATAGCAATAAATATTGATTAATATATTTATTAGATATTAAATATTTTAAAAATGAAGGCTCTATTCTGTTTAGGAGTTGGAATGTTGATGACCTAATAAGACAACACTGTTCATGCCTGGTTGTATAGAGATGATATTGGTGCCTTTTGGGGTATCAAGGGATATGAAGAGTAAGTGACAGAAGTGGGTACACATAGAGGTCATATGTCATGGCCATAATATAGATTTTTGGGTACATTCGATTCTGCTAGTGTTAGAAGAGGGTATATAAATTAGTGATAGTTTAGATTTCTTGTTTTCTCAAGAAACTGTGGTAATTGTCATGGTATTGTGTATAAAAAATATGATGTTTTATTGGATAAAGTTTACAAGCAATTAGAGTTGGCTGCATTAGTAAGTAATTTTACAATTCATCCTGCTCATCATCACTTTAAACAATTCTACTATTAGGAATGGGATGAAAGAGATAGATATATTCATGACAGTAAGAGATTAATATAATGATTAGGAATCTATCCTCCCTACTTCTCTTAAGATCAAGCCAAAAATGCCAATGGTGGAGTATGGCCAACAGACTTTTCTAAAATCAGACTTAGACCAGGAGGTGTCAATTATATTTATAACATTTTGACTGGATATCATTATAAGCCATATTAAGGTTTAGATGTTCCAAAAGGAAAGGCTTATAATCCTTATTTTGATCATATGATTATAGGTATGGTTAGATAATTGCATGATGGTATGATTTGAAATTAATTATTAAGGACTTGTTGATTATGAGGATGGCACTCCTGCATCAACTCCATAAATGGCATTTGATGTCACTAATTTCATCCAATTTGTTCAAAGAAGAAGCGGTTTTCAAAGACCAGACAAGACTGTCAGATATTATATGTTCTTGACAGGTGTTGCTTTAATTTATCCATTTGCCTATTTGAAAACAAGAGGATTTTACAGAAACAATCTTTCCCTCAGGTATCTTTTCATCATAATCCTTCAGATGGGAAATGTACGCAGTGAGAGATGGCGTTTATTACAATCATTTCAAAAAGGGATGGAAGAATTCCAGAGCTATTCAATTCAGAGGTCAAGTCTGGGCTTGATTTATAAATATTATTCAAAATATTACAAATATTATTCTATGTACTCTATTATCAATTATTTCATGTCTCTATATCAAATTCAAATTTATTTAATACATAATAATAGCATCTTCTAAAATGCAATCACTTTTCGTTAAATGTTAAAAGTGTCAATAAAGACCAGCCACTATTAAATGTTCATAGTGCAGATATGGATAAACATATAGACTCTGTTATTCTTGTGATTCACAAGTCCATAATAGAACTGGCCCTATTGATCAACAACACAAAACTGAAATAATTCCATATTAAGGTATCATCTTTAACTTGAAATAGAAATGTATTTAAAAAATTAAAGCTTTGTTCCAGCTCCTTCTCAATCTGAATAGAGGAATTCTCAAAAAAAAAATGATTTCAAAGCTTAACCTCCAACTAAGGATTATTTGAGCTATGATACTAGAAAACAGGATTATTCTAAGACAATTGAAGTTAACAGAAAACCTGAATATGTTGAAAAAAAACATGATTATTTGGATAAGAAATTTGATAGCCATGATAAAAGATATGATCAACAACACCAAGGTTTTGACAAAAAACAATTTTCTTCAAACTTAAAGCCTTAGGAATTTGAAAAATCTAATTAGAATTTAATTAACTAATTAAAAGAAGAGCAATAATAAACTGATAGATTAAGGGCAGAATTGAATTTAGTTAAAGAGAGAGAAATGGAATTCTAGAAAAGACTGTATTCTAATATTTAAAATAATATAGATCAAAATTAGAGTAAGATTATGAATAAAAACATAAAGAAGATAGATAAAAAATATAATAGGTTTAGGATGAAAATAAAAATTTACATTAAAAACTCAATTAAGTTAATAAGCATCTTAATGAGGAAACAAATAGAGTTAGATAGTATGAGTAATAAATTAGAGATCTTGAGTAAGCTCTCAATGAAAATGTTTAAGAATAAAATCATGTATCAATTTTTATTTATAAATTAGGAAGAGATTTAATAAATATATGAAGAATCAAATATGAAAGACCAAATTATAGAATAATTATAACAGTAGCTTTAAGATATGTAAACACAAATTCAATAAATGGCAGAAGAATAATAAAATAACAGCAGAAATACTAGAAATTAATAATCTTCTAATAAGAAACTATCAAAAAGTTAGGATAATGAAAAGGATTTAATGATTTAAGAATTAAATTAGTAATTAGAAGAAAAAAATGAAGAAAATCATAAATTGGAAGGTTTTTAATTAATTCATTATTATTTTAGACTTGATTGAAAATTTTAAGCAACTATATCAACATATGAATGAGGAAAAATCTTAATTGTAAGAGGAAGTTGAGAAATTAGCAAATGAAAATAATTAATTTAGAGAAATATTTAGTGTAAATAATATTCTAAAATTTAGTAAAATTTGCATCTATTTGGGATTGATCCAGAGCAACTTAATGAAGAAGGAGAAGGCGAGTATCCTGAAGAAATTGCTGAAGAGAATGATGATCAAAATGATTGAAATTTATCTGTTTCATTTATTACATATTCTTTATGAAAAGTAAGGATTCCATTTATATATCAACAATTAGCTATATTTTTTCTAATTGAAAGTTAAAAATTAATTCCAAATAATTATAAAATGAATAAATACTCCCTAAGATTCGACAATCCTAAAATGGAAGAACTTTATTTTTAAGATCAATATGAAGAATTATTTAATTTTTATACTTGGGCTTGCTGTTTAGGTACTATAAGTGCAATATGTGTTTTTACAATGGAATTTATTGTTCCATTTGGGTTTGGTTTTTGGAAATATATATTGATTATTATTCCTTTAGGCTTTGGATTCAGTCATAAATTAATAAAAATGTTTCCCTAATATTTTAATTATGTTTTGGCTATGATGAATATTTCCTTAGGAGGATTAATATTCATTCTACTTTATTTTTTTTCCAACTCTAATTTACTATTTTTGGCAGGATAAACCGTCGCAATGATTCAATATAGTTTGCTTTTGGGTTCAAATATTATTACAAATATATTAGTTTTGTTAATAAATTAGATAGGATTGATGATATTAAGTTCAATAGTTCAAAATTACTTTAATTCATTATAACTAATGTTTATATTAGCATTGGTACTAGTACTAAAATCAATTTGGAGTAGTGAAAAGATGAAAAGATCATTTTTTTTATTGAAGTATCAAAACATTCAACTTCATAAATAATTAGACAATGTATTTTAATTAAAAATATTAAGATGCAAATTTGATAAAAAATTAAATCAAATAAAGTTAATAAATATTAATAAACAAGCTGAAAAAATAATTTAAGATTAAAAACAATTCATTTAATTTATTAGACAATATACAATTGCTTAAATTAGATCTCTCTCATAACCAATTCAAATGTTTACAAGTTAACGTAATATTTAAAAAACATAAACATTAGAATAAGTACTTTACAGTATGCTGGTAGGAGATGATAAAGAAAAATCATCTGAAATTTATTCTGAAGTAACTAAAATAGCATTTAGAATTTGTATATATAAAATTATAGAAAAAAATTAAGTTCATTTAATTTTGTTGCTTTAAGAAGATTCAGAATATTAAAAGATATTAAAATTAAATAAAGAAGTAAAGAAAAAGAATCGCAATCAGAAATTATTAATGACATGTCTTGAAAATGCAAAAAAATCTTTATAAATATTAAAGTATCTGACAATAGAAATTATTGAAAAAAAACAAAAAATGCATTAAAATTCTTAAATGAACTTTAAAATTATTAAAATAATCTCGATTTCTTAAAGTATTTTATTTAAATCTGTTCATGGTTATTATAATGTACTTATTCTTAATAAAATGTAACAGTAATTATAAGAGATCATATAATTTGACATAGAGATGTTGTTTAATGATGTAAGAAAACTTAGAAATGTATTTTGCAACATCAAATAATTGCCTATTAATTATGAAGGTGATAATCTAAAATGCGAATCAAATTATGTATTAACATTATAATTAATTTTGAATTTACTTCAAGATTAATTTTGTGATAGAAATTATGAAAAGATTTTGATCAAAGTAGATTATTTATATATTTATAGACTTAATTATAATAACAAGAAAAAACTAAAGTGATTAACTATAAGGTCTATCTATTTATTAATGAAAAAAGTGAGAGAGTTTGTATTCCACTAAATAGA